CTATGGCTGAAGATTCTCGCCATGCCGGGGGCCCTGGTTTGAGGCCGCAGTTCAGGAGAAGCTGAAGCTGGAGGAAGAGGCCTGAACAAACCAGCCATGGGATCAACATGGATCAACCCACTGGGACTTTACCAGGATGAACCAGAGGGTGTATGTATATATTGAAACAGTATATATATATATAATTATATATACACTGTATATACTGTACATACATATCCATACTATATATATATATATATATAAGTGGGATGATCCTCTAAGTACCCTCCCTCTAAAACGATCCGTAAGTGATGATAAATGACTCACCAGAACGGCCCCTCTAAAACGTTTCTCCGACATTGATGGTTTTGATACAGAATAGTTGTATGGGTATTGTCCCATAAAGGGGATGGTAATCAATGCATTGCTTGGCGGTAATATATAGTCATTGTAAGGAAATCCATCCACGATGGTGTGATGACCATATACAAATTACATAATGTTTTGACAGAAACACATGATTGGTGTAATTTGTACATGGGTTTGTCCATAAAGGAAGGATACAAAAAAAATAAAATAATTGATGGTGCCCTACTTTCAGTCAAACCCATACGTATACGCAAAGTATATGTGTTTCTGTCTATTGTCAATGTTCAATTGCTATATATACTTGGAGATATTTTGCAATGTACTGTAGATGTGTTGCCTTGTATATATCATATATCATCAAGTGCGGACATGTAGAGTTTTGTTGTGTCTTAATTTGCGTTTTTTTTCAATGTGTTTCTGGTGTTTTGTGGTGGTTTGTTTATTTTTTTGTTGGTTCATGTTTGGTTCAGGTTGAGGTTCTGGTGGTGATGGTGATGGTTGCCAATCTTGGCCGAAGAGCCAAAGTGAAGGGATTGCGACCTTCCAAAAATAATCCATCATTTCTGGGTCAGGTTCAGAAGGGGGCCTCCTCTTAGAACATTTTGGCATTCGTGCATTTTATAGCCTGCTTCTTTCAGTTGTGTGATGATTTGAGCAGCATGGTGGGAACCTCTGTTCACCAGTGAAGGTCACTGCCCTCAAAGCAGCAGCTAGAGAAGAGGATGAAGAGTCTGATGAAGAGGCAGGTGCTGCGTCGAAACACCGAAAACTTGGTTGGGGAGGGAATTATGTTGAAATTTCGATGTTACTTCCCATTCCATTTTTTTCAGAAATGGGGTTTATTACCATCCGGTAATCAAACGTGACTGGAAAATCCCCCCAAACTGGAGATATCACGGGAAAATCATGGATTTTCGTGTTTTTTTTCCAGCCCCGTTTGGAGGGTCCATCCCAATCTACCGCATCCAGGATGACTTTATTGAGTGTGGCTGGGATGTGGCGACTCTGGAGCCCATCGTCCAGGCTGGCATGGATGGGACGTCGTCCCTTCATGTTTAATGAATTTTAAAGAGCCAAGCTTATAGGTTGATAATGACAACCATAGGTCAAAATTATCATTATATGTATATATACATAATATAATGCATATGTATACACATTATATATACATATATTATATACATATTATGTATATATATATATATAATATCAATATACTATATATATATATATCAATATACATATCCTGTGGTAAATTAACATAACTATATGGAACACCTTTATTTTTCATAGGCAAATATCCACAATAAATGGCAATTGTCAATGGTTATGTTAAATTGCCAGACGGTAATCATCAGAACATAAGAAATTTTGTGGAGGTCCATTCTGAGGCGGTCCCAAGTGCTCAATCCATAAGTGGGATCCCCAAGTCACCAGTCTAATGACTTGGATGATTTGGGGGTATCCCGATGATTTAGGAAACCTCCAAGTAGTGAGATTGTGGTAAAGCCAAATGATGTCGTAGAATAGTTTGCTTGGTGGTTTGAAACATGTAATATATATATATATATTTATTGAAATTATAATATATAGATCCATTTATTAAATTTCACGAGCTCCTGGGATTTTGTGATTTTTAGGGAATATTGGATATCAAGGTCAAGATGCAATATTGGTGCAGTGTACGCGCACAAGGGTCGCACGAAAAAACTTAAGCGTCATGGTTTGCACGGGTTTGCACTGGATCAGCCTTCCATAATATTGGAATTGGTCCAATTAATCGTTCAGAAAAAATGAAACGGTCGGAAACGGTCGGAAACGGTCGGAAACGGTCGGAAACGGTCGGAAACATGATCAGGCCAAAACTTGTCCAACCCGCATTTTTTTAAATAAGCATTTCCGCGCAACGCTGTTTTTTTTTTTGAAGGTCCAAAGGTGTCCAAGGGGAAACGGTTGGAAACAGTCGGAGATCGCACCTTCGCTCAGCAAAAAACTAGTTGTTTTGTAGCATATATGTTCATGAAAAATGTTTGAAAATTATGTAAAAACATGTTTTTTTTGCCGAAAGTTTTTTCGTGCGACCCTTGTGCGCGTACACTGCACCAAATACTGCATCTTGACCTTGATATCCAATATTCCCTAAAAATCACAAAATCCCAGGAGCTCGTGAAGTTTAACATATCCATTTATTGTTTTCAACAATACTTGGGATGATTGGTTGAGATGGCTCAGATTTTGGGGCATAGTTTAAAACCACCAACCAGTGGTGGTATAACTGGGTGGTAATCATGCTGTGGTAAACCCAATGGTGAACCATCCAACATTTTGCTAGGCACGGTTGGTATTGAGATCCCACATGAAAAGAAACGTAACAAACGGCAGTGTCTTCAATCCTGGTTTCTGTCACACCTCATTGAAGTAGCCGCTGCCTTCAAATCACAAAGCCGGTGAATGTGGTAAACCCAATGATAAACCATCCAAAAATGGTGAGTACAACTGGGTACACTTCTACTAGTTTTGTTTCTTGGTTTCCCACATTATTACGAAAGCCAGCCGGGAAGCTGGCTAGTTGCTATTTGCGAACGAAGTGAGAATAGGGGGTCTGGGGGGGGTAGTTGCCAAACGGGTCAAAAATCGGAAAATAGGTGGTGATTTTAGTGAGAAAAAAGTATGGTTTTGCAGGGTAATGTACTAGGCGGCAAAACAGTGACGGTGGGCATCGATTCCCCCTAGGTCCGGTTTTCTGGGGTTTTCTGGGCTCAGTCAATGGACAGATAGATGGGCCAGCTAGTTAAAGGAGATTGGAGAGAGAAGGACATTGGGTGAAAAGTATGTGCAAGAAGAGTTTCTGGGTGAAGAGTGTCTGGATAAAAAGTATATGGGTGAAAAGTATGTGCAAGAAGAGTCTCTGGGTGAAAAGTATATGGGTGAAAAATTTGTGCAGGAAGGGTTTCTGGGTGAAGAGTCTCTGGGTGACAAGTATATGGGTGAAAAGTATGTGCAAGAAGAGTTTCTGGGTGAAGAGTCTCTGGGTGAAAAGTACATGGGTGAAAAGTATGTGCAAGAAGAGTTTCTGGGTGAAGAGTCTCTGGGTGAAAAGTATATGGGTGAAAAGTATGTGCAAGAAGAGTTTCTGGGTGAAGAGTCCCCGGGTGAAAAGTATATGGGTGAAAAGTATGTGCAAGAAGAGTTTCTGGGTGAAGAGTCTCTGGGTGAAAAGTATATGGGTGAAAAGTATGTGCAAGAAGAGTTTCTGGGTGAAGAGTCTCTGGGTGAAAAGTATATGGGTGAAAAATTTGTGCAAAGGGTTTCTGGGTGAAGAGTCTCTGGGTGAAAGTATATGGGTGAAAAGTATGTGCAAGAAGAGTTTCTGGGTGAAGAGTCTCTGGGTGAAAAGTATATGGGTGAAAAGTATGTGCAAGAAGAGTTTCTGGGTGAAGAGTCTCTGGGTGAAAAGTATATGGGTGAAAAGTATGTGCAAGAAGAGTTTCTGGGTGAAGAGTCTCTGGGTGAAAAGTATATGGGTGAAAAGTATGTGCAAGAAGAGTTTCTGGGTGAAGAGTCTCTGGGTGAAAAGTATATGGGTGAAAAGTATGTGCAAGAAGAGTTTCTGGGTGAAGAGTCTCTGGGTGAAAAGTATATGGGTGAAAAGTATGTGCAAGAAGGGTTTCTTTGTGAACAGTCTCTGGGTGAAAACAATATGGGTGAAAAGTATGTGCAAGAAGAGTTTCTGGGTAAAGAAGAGTCTCTGGATGAAGAAAAACTATGTATATGGGTGGAAAAGTATGTGCAAGAAGAGTTTCTGGGTGAAGAGTCTCTGGGTGAAAAGTATCTGGATGAAAAGTATGTGCAAGAAGAGTTTCTGGGTGAAGAGTCTCGGGGTGAAAAGTATATGGGTGAAAAGTATGTGCAAGAAGAGTTTCTGGGTGAAGAGTCTCTGGGTGAAAAGCATATTGGTGAAAAGTATGTGCAAGAAGAGTTTCTGGGTGAAGAGTCTCTGGGTAAAAAGTATATGGGTGAAAAGTATGTGCAAGAAGAGTCTCTGGGTGACAAGTATATGGGTGAAAAAATTGTGCAAGAAGAGTTTCTGGGTGAAGAGTCTCTGGGTGACAAGTATATGGGTGAAAAGTATGTGCAAGAAGAGTTTCTGGGTGAAGAGTCTCTGGGTGAAAAGTATATTGGTGAAAAGTATGTGCAAGAAGAGTTTCTGGGTGAAGAGTCTCTGGGTGAAAAGTATATTGGTGAAAAGTATGTGCAAGAAGAGTCTCTGGGTGAAAAGTATATGAGTGAAATGTTTGTGCAAGAAGAGTTTCTGGGTGAAAAGTCTCTGGGTGAAGAGTCTCTGGGTGAAAAGTATATGGGTGAAAAGTATGTGCAAGAAGGGTTTCTTTGTGAACAGTCTATTATGGGTGAAAAGAATATGGGTGAAAAGTATGTGCAAGAAGAGTTTCTGGGTAAAGAGTCTCTGGGTGAAGAGTCTGTGCAAGAAGAGTTTCTGGATGAAGAGTCTCTGGGTGAAAACTATGTACAAGAAGAGTTTGTGGATGAAGAGTCTCTGGATGAAAAGTATCTGGAGGAAAAGTATATGGGTGAAACGTGTGTGCAAGAAGAGTTTCTGGGTGAAGAGTCTCTGGGTGAAAAGTATCTGGATGAAAAGTATGTGCAAGAAGAGTTTCTGGGTGAAGAGTCTCGGGGTGAAAAGTATATGGGTGAAAAGTATGTGCAAGAAGAGTTTCTGGGTGAAGAGTCTCTGGGTGAAAAGCATATTGGTGAAAAGTATGTGCAAGAAGAGTTTCTGGGTGAAGAGTCTCTGGGTAAAAAGTATATGGGTGAAAAGTATGTGCAAGAAGAGTCTCTGGGTGAAAAGTATATGGGTGAAAAGTATGTGCAGGAAGAGTTTCTGGGTGAAGAGTCTCTGGGTGAAAAGTATATGGGAGAAAAGTATGTGCAAGAAGAGTTTCTGGGTGAAGAGTCTCTGGGTGAAAAGTATATGGGTGAAAAGTATGTGCAAGAAGAGTTTCTGGGTGAAGAGTCCTGGGTGAAAAGTAAATGGGTGAAAAGTATGTGCAAGAAGAGTTTCTGGGTGAAGAGTCTCTGGGTGAAAAGTATATGGGTGGAAAGTCTGTGCAAGAAATTTTCTGGGTGAAAAGTATATGGGTGAAAAATATGTGCAAGAAGAGCTTCTGGGTGAAGAGTCTCTGTGTGAAAAGTATATGGGTGAAAAGTATGTGCAAGAAGAGTTTCTGGGTGAAGAGTCTCTGGGTGAAAAGTATATGTGTGAAAAGTATGTGCAAGAAGAGTTTCTGGGTGAAGAGTCTCTGGGTGAAAAGTATATGGGTGAAAAGTATGTGCAAGAGTGGGTGAAGAGTTTCAAGAAGAGTTTCTGGGTGAAGAGTCTCTGGGTGAAAAGCATAAAGTTGGTGAAAAGTTTGTGCAAGGAGAGTTTCTGGGTGAAGAGTCTCTGGGTGAAAAGTATATGGTTGAAGAAGTCTCTGGGTGAAAAGTATATGGGTGAAAAGTATGTGCAAGAAGAGTTTCTGGGTGAAGAGTCTCTGGGTGAAAAGTATTTGGTGAAAAGTATGTGCAAGAAGAGTTTCTGGGTGAAGAGTCTCTGGGTGAAAAGTATATGGTGAAAAGTATGTGCAAGAAGAGTCTCTGGGTGAAAAGTCTGTGCAAGAAGAGTTTCTGGGTGAACAGTCTCTGGGTGAAGAGTATATGGGTGAAATGTCTGTGCAAGAAGAGTTTTTGGGTGAAGAGCCTCTGGGTGAAAAGTATATGGGTGAAAAGTATGTGCAAGAAGAGTTTCTGGGTGAAGAGTATCTGTGTGAAAAGTATATGAGTGAAAAGTATGTGCAAGAAGAGTTTCTGGGTGACTTGTTTTGGGTGAAAATATGTGGGTGAAAAGTATGTGCAACAAGAGTTTCTGGGTGAAGAGTCTCTGGGTGAAAAGTATATTGGTGAAAGTATGTGCAAGAAGAGTTTCTGGGTGAAAAGTCTGTGCAAGAAGAGTTTCTGGGTGAAGAGTCTCTGGGTGAAAAGTATATGGGTGAAAAGTATGTGCAAGAAGAGTTTCTGGGTGAAGAGTCTCTGGGTGAAAAGTATATGGGTGAAAAGCATGTGCAAGAAGAGTTTCTGGGTGAAAAGTATGTGCAAGAAGAGTTTCTGGGTGAAGAGTCCCTGGATGAAAAGTATATGGGTGAAAAGTATGTGCAAGAAGAGTTTCTGGGTGAAGAGTCTCGGGATGAAATCTATATGGGTGAAAAGTATGTGCAAGAAGAGTTTCTGGGTGAAGAGTCTCTGGGTAAAAAGTATATTGGTGAAAAGTATGTGCTAGACGAGTTTCTGGGTGAAGAGTCTCTGGGTGAAAAGTAAATGGGCGAAAAGTATGTGCAAGAAGAGTTTCTGGGTGAAGAGTCTCGGGGTGAAAAGTATATTGGTGAAAAGTATGTGCAAGAAGAGTTTCTGGGTGAAGAGTCTCTGGGTAAAAATATGGGTGAAAAGTATGTGCAAGAAGAGTTTCTGGGTGAAGAGTCTCTGGGTGAAAAGTATATGGGTGAAAAGTATGTGCAAGAAGAGTTTCTGGGTGAAGAGTCTCTGGGTGAAAAGTATATGGGTGAAAAGTATGTGCAAGAAGAGTTTCTGGGTGAAGAGTCTCTGGGTGAAAAGTATATGGGTGAAAAGTATGTGCAAGAAGAGTTTCTGGGTGAAGAGTCTATGGGTGAAAAGTATATGGGTGAAAAGTATATGCAAGAAGAGTCTCTGGGTTAAAAGTATATGGGTGAAAAGTATGTGCAAGAAGAGTTTCTGGGTCAAGAGTCTCTGGGTGAAAAGTATATGGGTGAAAAGTATGTGCAAGAAGAGTTTCTGGGTGAAGAGTCCCTGGATGAAAAGTATATGGATGAAAAAATTGTGCAAGAAGAGTTTCTGGGTGAAGAGTCTCGGGATGAAAAGTATATGAGTGAAAAGTATGTGCAAGAAGAGTTTCTGGGTGAAGAGTCTCGGGATGAAAAGTATATGGGTGAAAAGTATGTGCAAGAAGAGTTTCTGGGTGAAGAGTCTCTGGGTGAAAAGTATCTGGGCGAAAAGTATGTGCAAGAAGAGTTTCTGGGTGAAGAGTCTCTGGGTGAAAAGTATTTGGGTGAAAAGTATTTGGGCGAAAAGTATGTGCAATAAGAGTTTCTGGGTAAAGAGTCTCTGGGTGAAAAATCTATGCAAGAAGAATTTCTGGGTGAAGAGTCTCTGGGTGAAGAGTATCTGGGTGAAAAGTTTCTGGGTCAAAAGTATGTGCAATAAGAGTTTCTGGGTGAAAAGTATATGGGTGAAAAGTATGTGCAAGAATGGTTTCTGGGTGAAGAGTCTGTGGGTGAAAAGTATATGGGTGAAAAGTATGTGCAAGAAGAGTTTCTGGGTGAAGAGTCTCTGGGTGAAAAGTATATGGGTGAAAAGTTGTGCAAGAAGAGTTTCCTCTGGGTGAAAAGTATATGGGTGAAAAGTATGTGCAAGAAGGGTTTCTGGGTGAAGAGTCTCTGGGTGAAAAGTATATGGGTGAAAAGTATGTGCAAGAAGAGTTTCTGGGTGAAGAGTCTCTGGGTGAAAAGTATATGGGTGAAAAATATGTGCAAGAAGAGTTTCTGGGTGAAAAGTCTGTGCAAGAAGAGTTTCTGCGTGAAGAGTCTCTGGGTGAAAAGTATATGGGTGAAAAATATGTGCAAGAAGAGTTTCTGGGTGAAAAGTATGTGCAAGAAGAGTTTCTGGGTCAAGAGTCTCTGGGTGAAAAATATTGGGGAACATAGGGATAGATGGATGTTGGCTTGCGTTCCCCCCTTCTCAGGTCAGCACATTCTGTATATCTGACTTGAATATATTTGGTGAGCTCGGAACCTGTTGCCATCCTCCTTTCAGCAGGACGACGGCGAACTCAATTTCTTTGCATCACCCTAAGGCGCAGCTGACCGGGACATGTTTCAAAGCTCTTGTATATCTCAGTATATCTCAGTATATCTATTTTATCTCAGTATCTTGAGTTATCTTGAGTTGATTCAGTTTGGTATACTGCATACTTTGATCAAGCAGAGGGTCTCAAGAGGAAAGTCGTTTTATAAGCAATTCGAGACATTTTCTGAACGAATGACTGCCATGAACGCCTTCTGTGAATGTGACACCTCGGCTATCACAGGCCATGGCAGCGCGATGTGAATGCTAAGGATCAGTGGCAGGACATTCCATGCATCTAGGAGGTTTTTGCATTGTATTTACATGTATTTACAGTATATAGGTACCATTCAACAACATCCTAGATAGTTTACTGCACGGAGTCTATCAGTGGGACATCAAACTCACATTCAGATGCTTGTAAGGTGGACTGATGATACTGATGCAATTTCAGTCGAGTTCATGGATTCTGCGCAGCTCGTCTTGACATAATTGGACATTGTATGAATTGAACATAATTGAACATTCCCATGTTATGTTCAATAATATATGATATATGATTTCCTTTTTGTTTTGCATCACGCGGGTGAAGTTGCACGAAGGGTTAGCTAGGCCTCGTCAGTATCAGAAACATGGTTTTAACTCGTGCAGCACATGCCGCTGATTTTGAACCACTGGATGTTGGGGTCACTATTTCGGACAAAAAGATATCTCTTTGGAACGGTGGTTAGTCAAACAAGTACAGTAATTGCTTTGGATTAGATAACTTTCATTCCTCGATCTCGCAAGAATCAATAAAAGCATTGATCCTGAACTACTTCCTATGCTTTTGCCAGCGCAACCGCAGAGGGAGCCAGGAATGAGAAAGCTCAGAAATACCAAATTGTATTCCCGCAGTCGGGAACTATGTACATTGATATCCATGTTAGTTTTGAAATGTTTTGAATTGAACCATGCAAAGTCCGTCACATGACCAGACAGTCCAGACACCTAAATTGACCCAGTGTAGCCGTATAAGCCTGTCCATGTGGATTTAACGGATTTCCGTTGTTGCCGTTTCTTGCGATAAAATGATTATGATTCTGACTGGCCAATGGGAAAACACTAGTAATTTACAAGGTTGCACTGGCGGCGGCTTGCCGCGCGCGTTGCGATCGTCGGTGGCTGTCAAGACTGAACGTGGTCAAAGCAAATGGATAAGCAGGTCCAAAGGTTTGAGACAAACATTTTGAAGTTGTACCCGAATTTAACATATTTATAAATATACGTATATTTAATGATGTTATATAATTGTTTTTGCCTTAGTGCAGCAATTGTCTGACTTCCTGCAGGTCATCTCTTTTGTTTCGGAAAAAAGGACTGTGAAATCCTATTTGTGGCCGCCATGTGCAGGGTCGGCCCCACAGCTACAGTCTGGCCGTGTGCAATGAGCCCAGAGCGGCAAAATTCGCAGATCGACTTGCTCAATGAAGGGTACAGTTTGTCTCTTCACTTCAGCCCGGCTTGGAGTTTCATGCCTGATAGACCATTTGAATACTGTTTGAATCATTTTAAGTAGTTAAACTCAAGATTTGTTCCACGAGAGTTAAAGACACCAAAGGTGACCGCAGTGAATTTTCAGGCCCAGTGCCCAGTGCCTGAACCTTCGACAAAGAGACTCGATGGCACAATACGCTGCCGTGGCTGAATCCAATCTTTACCGAGACATATGAAGTGTATGCTCACGCCACAGTTTCAATGTGAAGTTGTGGTGGTTGGCCCAAATGTGGGGGGAACCTCTCGGATTCCCTTTCATAACCGTCATAACCTCTTCATTTCATGGTTCAGCCTGTTTGGGACTGGGAAACAGCCAGAACAGGCAGAAAAAAAATCCTCCATAGGAATAGTTTCTGATCATTTCCTGCACAGGATCTCTTAGATTGGCACTCTTTCGCCAAGTGCAAAGTTAAGACTTGAAGACCAAAGAACAATGAACAATTTCGATGAATCTAAAATAATTAGTCTGAAAACAGCGGACAAAAACTTGAAAAAAAAAACTAGACAAATCCAAACATGTTCCGGATCCCTTCCATGGATTTCTATGATTTCTGTGGTCAGGCTCGGTTTGGTGAATTGCATAAAAAGGGATAAGGGCCATCTAGCGAAGACCATACTATATTATACGTTTCCAATGTTTGGTCAAGGAACACTTTTTGGGCTGATTTAGTTTGGTGCGGAGAAAGCTGTTTTTTCTTCAGAAGGTAATCTTTTTTTTCAGAATGTGTCAGGGTATGACAGGGAACCCGGAGAATCCGGAGAGACCACGGATTGCTTTTTACTGTATATATATTTCACCCCCGGGTCGCAGCAGCGCAAAAGGTGGGGCCGCCACCGGGCCGCTGGGTGATGTTTTGCTCCCAGCTGCACAGAATAGCGCTAGTGAAAATGGTGAACATTTTTCATTGTCAATCCAAATTCACCATCAATCACGCAACATAAGTGATACAAGAAAAAATGCTTTAACCTGGGGCCCAAGAACCCATCAGTGCTGTCACAGTGCTGTCATTTAGAACAGGTTTGGAATTGAAGGAGTTGGCCTACTTCGAAGACCGCAGCTGGGCAGAATCGGATAGCTGGTGGTAGAAATTTTAGCCCTGAGTGAGCTGTCAGGGGCCAAAGATGGCCAAAGAATGGTTGGTGGTTTCAGCATGTTTCAGCTACTATTACTTGCACATGTAGTTTTTTCGTCCGTGGAATGCAATTGACTAGTCTTTATATAGATGGGTTGAAACTTTTCATCAACTAGCTGGAGTTTGGATTATCGCGGGGATAAGGGTCCAAGGGGTGAAGTTTCCCTATGACTTTACCATTGTTACCCATGTCTTCTGGAATCTCCCATAGGTCCAAGTTCTTAGATGGGGAAACCATGGGGAACCCAGGCATTCATCGTTTGTGCCGCGGCCCCAGTGGTGGGTGTTGCGGCTCTCAGAGATATTCAAAAAAAAACATCGGAAGTTCCGAAGAATCACCATGTTGATGACGTGGCACAAAAAAACCTTGGTTTTGGATAGCTTCCCCAAGTTGGTTCATGGCCTGTCACTGACGGTGAGAAAGGTCGTGAAGACCAGTGGCTGATGGCTGAGTGTCAGGGACTGAGAGCATTTGGGAACTCAGATCCTGACACTGAGCGCAGGCTTTATGTGTAAAATATGTATAAAATTCCTTAAATTTCCCTAAAATTATGGATGTTTTTAATTGTCACCTGTCAACCAGATTTGGGATGACTGAGGCACCCAGTCCCGGGGATGGGTCAACTCAACATGGTCCATCCAATCGGGCCATGACATCCGCGACATCAATGGTTTTGAGACCCGAATTCATGGCAGATTGAAACGGGAAAATTATAAAATGGATGATCAACAATATAAGAATGAACTGAAGTGATATGGCTCGATTTAGGGATTTCCATGGTTTCCCAAAAAATCAGGGTACAGTACAGTATCCACCATTTTTGTTGACATATTTTTTTGATCTCACGGGAGTATCCTGGCCTTTCCTGAGGCTGCAGCGTTGAGGAAGAACTGGAGGCTGTAAACAGGTTTACCAGCAGTGCTTTCTTGTGATTCTCGTCATGGAGTTTAAACATCATTAGCAATCCCTATAGAACCTCCAGTATGATCATGTATCTATAGTATGAATTAGTGTGATACATTAATGATATCAAAATGTTCAAACAAAATCAACTAGATTTACCATCATTGTCTCGTTATTTCATGTCATTGTCAGCTCCAGCCGCAGGCATTGCGCCTCTTCGGCACTTCCCCAGCATCACCAGCAACTGCGGCCAAAAGGGCGGCATAGGGCGGCGAATCGGGGAGGAGATGGTTGACGCCAAGGGAAACGCCAAGCGAAACGCCAAGCAAATAGTGCTGTTGGACCCATCAAAACAGGTTTAAAAAGCAGAACGTGTCTGAAAAACAGGTTTAAACCCATTTGTGAAATGAAGCTGTGTGTCTGAAAATGAAGTCATCCAAGATCTCATGGTTCAAATTTGTTCGAAGAGGTCATGAGTTGGGGTCTCCCAGTATCCCCTATTCTTAGACACCCCCCAATAAATAGTTTATCTTAGTTTGAAAAACACGCAACCTTCCAAGGTTACACCCAGCAATTTTCGCCTCGCAGAATCTCTTCAACACAATGCTGGCACTTCGAATTTCTCCTGAACAGCGGGCGTATGCCATGTTGCTGTCAGCGTGCGCATATCAGCGGAGGGAGGGCCATTTTAAGGGAAAAAAATGACGATCTTAAAAATGGATAAAAATGGATAAAAATGGTCAATTGGACATATTGGACAATCCCATGTATTTTGTGGCAGTGCATCTACCTAATATCTATATCCTATAACCCTGTAACTGTACTCGTTTGTTGCTGTGGGAACTGATGCAGAGGTCAAGCAAACAAGAGGAGCCCCAGCCGGCCCTGGCACCCTGGATATTGAGCAAAAACTGAACTCAGATCCTGGCATTTTTGCAATTGGGGTACCACTGTGGTGGGAGGAACTTCATCACTCAGTGAATCTCACTGTCCAAAAATTCGATGGTTGTGGTGACAGCTGCTTTCACCCGACTCAAGTTCTCCACTCTCTTCAGAAAAGGTAGGATGGTAGGGGGTTGCTCCTTTGAAGAAACCTTCAGGTATGGCAATGGGAAGCAGCACCAGGTGCTCCTAAACGAGAACCTTTGCCATGATCCAGAAGTCCATGGGTTCAAAGGGCTATTGCAATCAACTCCAAATCATAAGCACAGTGCTAGTTGCAATGAACAGAACACTGCTCCATCTCCCACCGTGGGATTATGTGGGTCTATGTTGATCTGTGTAGGCCGCCATGTATTCCCTTTGGCATCTTCTGGTGGATCTCCCCTTGAAAGATGTATAGTATCAATTAGTATCAAAGATATTGGGCCTACTCTGGACAGTTGTGGAATAACTGGAGTTGTAGAGAAACTCTTCCGTTCTTGCTGAGTGATATGATATCAGGCTGCCAGGGAGCTTTTCTTGACGATTCCTTTGAAGTATCAGTGTGAAGCCCCAGCAATTGGGCCGTGCGGCAGTGACGGTGCCAAGGCATGCAAATTCTGCACGCAGTGCGTTGTGAACAGCTGGTTTTCCTTAGATATTTGCTGTTCAGAAGTCTTGTTTGGAAACAGGTGCAGTAAGTACAGTGTATATATATATATACAGTATCTGATTGGTGGTTTGGAACATTTTTTATTTTTTCATATATTGGGAATAATTATCCCAACTGACTAATATTTAACCGGCAATCCATAGCCCTGATCCATACCCATGATACATAATATTTAAGGTATATGATCCGTACCCCTCACACTGGGCCACTTTAGTTTACTGATCCTCGGTCAGGATCAAACCTATACGTAACTCACTCGTTCCATACATCCGGATCACCGCAGAACGATCCATACCTGTTGTTTGAGCCATACCCACATGTCACATAGTGTAATTGTGAAGGATCCGGTCTGAAGGCTTCCGTTGACAATATGTAGATTATGTAGGTTTTATGTACGTTTTGGCCCATATTTCCCGGTTTTACAAACAGAACACAGGACTTTAAAGAGCGAGAATCATCTTGAGCCAGGAAACATACCCCTGTGTCATGCGTTCTGCTTCATTGGGATTCTACAACCATGGGATAAGGGTATTTTTCCTGGCACACTTGGTGCTACTTGACCAAGGGGCCAGCTCTGATCCTGAGCCAAATGACAGGAAAGATGGCTTGGTTCGCGAAGCCATGTGGCGCTGTTTTGGTAAGGCAGGTGACGAGCAAAATTCGGATGTGCCTGAAGATGTGGGTATCCCCCAAAATTGCCAGTTTAAGAATTTTAATGCGGAAAACGATGACAAACCTTAGACTTTTGAGGCTGCCCCATTTTCAGGAAAAAGACACAGTTGACTGGAAACTGTCTGGTGTGCCTTGTTTGCTTATTTGTGAACAGGTCTGAGAATTGGAAGATAAAGTGCTGATAGAAAAATCCAGCATGCTACTAGTAGCAGCGCTCGTCAGGAAAAAAAAACGATAGGCCAAACGTGATCAAATCATTGCTGACATACCAGGATTCATCAGAAAATCACTCGGACCTGTTGCAGCATGTTGCAGCATGTTGCAGCACAATATATTATTCCACAGCCCCTGTTTGCCGTAGAGTTCACACAATTGACTGAATTTGAAACATGAGGCCGCAGTGGAGGTGTTCCAACAAGCAGAACGGCAAGGAGATTCAGCATGGAGCATGAACCGGCGTGGATGAATGGGACTGTGATACGCTGTGATGGGGAAGTAGTTGACGGCAAATCACCAAGTGGGCCAAAATCGATCCAATCGGTGGCCCAACGCCCAACATGCCCCAATGCCCTGCCGAAGAGTCGATCCAAAGGGGATTCACATCGGACTGGGAGAAAGCAAAAAAGAAAAGGTCTTGAAAAGGTCCTTTGCTGCACATGGGTGGTGATGGTAGATGATGGTAGCCTGTTTGGAAGCTTGCGATGTCCGGATGGTACCAAGTAGAGCCGAAGCCGTGACTTCTGTGCGTAACTTAGCATGGAGAATGTGGGATTGCTATGGCCACGCAGCCTCCAACTAATGCTGGATTGGTGCAGCCTTACCGAATTTAAAGCAACATGAGATAATTAAAAATAAATTAAAAATAACTATTTCATACTATATTATACTATATCTATCTATATCTACTTAATATGTTTATTTATGTTTTGTTATAACATTAAAACTCTAAACACTATAGGCCTTGAACCTCTTGTTTCTGTAACAATATGTTTCAATTTTCACCTAACAAAAAGATATAGTTGTTTATTTTCACTTAAATTCGATCTTTAGTTGGGCGCATTTGCTTCAGTCCCTAAGAATTCATCCGTGCCAACACTGGGATCGACAAAGGTCTGTTGCGAATGGGGGCTAGCTCACAGTTTAGTTTCTCTCAAAACCAGTAGTTTGTGGATCAGTTACTAAGAGTAACTACTGTAAGTCAACTTAACACCAAACATCATCATTAAAACATCATCATTATCATTATCATCATCATCATCATCACCACCACCATCACCATCACCATCACCATCATCATCCGTACATCCGTATCGCATGATTGCCAAATTATGATTTTTCTGAGTGTGGACCATGGACCTCCAGCGCATCCGTTTGCGAAGCGGAGAGTTCCCTTCTGATGAGGTAGAGGAGACCTGGGGCAGGGAGTCCCTCCATGGGAAAACCGACATTTCACCAGATTTACAAAGCTGCCGAATTTGTCATGTATCGTGTGCACAAACATGGAGGAGGTAGGATTAGGAATTGCATCTCAAAACATTGATAATGTGGAAGATATTGTCCTTGTTTATATGTCATATATGCACATATACAATATGCATATGAATATACATACTTGCATCATATATATATATATACATACATACATGATTTCATTTGTACACATACATACAATGATATGTATATATTAATAATATATATATATTAATAATATATATATATTAATAATATATATATATATAGATATAGATATATGTACATATTTTGTACATTAAAGAAAGAAACACATCAAAAATTGACATTGACCGTGCAGGAGCCAGGTGGTCCCATCGACTCAGCCCCAGCTTCGGTGGGTGCCTTGGGGGGTGGACGTCTTCCCTGGCCCTGCCAACCTCTGTTGCACCGGCCCAATGGAACGGTGAGCCACGGGAGCCATGCGTTGCGGTGCCTCGCTTTGTTGTTTTAATCCTGAATCCTGATGGATTTCTGTGATTTCCATACACAAATTTATCTGAATTTCAGGTCATTTCCATACACAAATCATCACAAATCGATGATTTCCTGTTTGCTGTTCTCTTCCGCTTGCAACACCCTTGTTCCAAGGCACATGCTGACAGCACTTTCCTTGGCACCTCTAAGATGGGCACATCTCAACAGTCTCGCGGAGCAGCAGATCTATGCCCGCCACGGGGGGGTTTCTTAAAATGCGGGATCCCCAAGTCACCATGGGCTTCAATATCTTCAAATCATCTAAAGTGGTCTACTGACTTGGATGATTTGGGGTTCCCAAAATTGTAGGACACCTCCAAATGTTTCCTTGAGAATCTTGAAACTTCATGGCATTTTTGGGGGGGTTGTGAATTCCTGGAAGTCCCTGGCTTTGGTCCTCAGCCACCCTGAAAGGTACCAGATCACCGAAGGTACAGCCGCGGTGGCAGCTTTTGGGTGTTTCAGTGGCAGAAGGACTTGGTCCCCGAGAGCCAGGTGCCCTGCGCGCGGGGGACTTCACCCGTCATTTGGCGTTTTGTCATGTTTTGTTCGCGTCATCTTGGAGGACATCAACATGTTACAATGCCTGCAACATGCCAGGCTCCGTGGTTCCATGAAACCTTGCGAACACTGGATCTCCTACGGCACCATGCAGAGGGTCTTATGGCCTCCGAAGCCTTGCCAGTGGACCTTGATGTGATGCAGAGTGATGGCCTGCCGCCTGGCCATATGCAACGGGTCATGGGAGCAGCCGGTGATTTTCTCACAGGGGGAGAAGCAATGGTGGGAAGAGATGGGTTTGCAGAGTAGACTCGTTCTAGCTAGTTAACATTTGTCAAGGCATGGAGACGCACTTATTGTGGCGGGCCGCTGCATTTGGGGATTTCGAGGCTTGCTTCTCGTGCTTTGCTTTGGGCGAGCTTTGCCGATGAAGATGCCTGGGTCCGAGACACCGACTTTCGCCAAAGAAAAATTAAAGAAAACACGACAGATATCACGAGATTGAAAGTAAACTGCAGCATGTGAACCGATCAGAACCCATGGCATTGTGTTGATCGATCAACATTAGATGAAAGCTCAAACCAACCAACATTGACCCAGTAAATAATCAAAGAATATCAAAGACATGTTGCTCTTGGGCCTTGCGGCCTTGGGTATGTTTTTGTTTGAACCATACCCAGTGGTGGTTTGGTGATTTCTGTTCACCCGGGCTCAGGTAAGCGCCATCGCTGAGTCTGCAGGCTTCACTGGAGCAGGCCTCCATGGTTCATTCAGGTTCGTCCCAACAGGTATAACATGGTATAAGGATGCCCCGTTGAGGAACCATGAAGCCATCCAGATCTATGCGGCCCCAACTGCTACTGTGGAATCCCTGGAAAGGCGCTCGCTTTCCTTCCAGGTGAAGCTGGTGGTACTGCGTGTTCTCCAACGGCTGCAGCGGTTACTTGAATTCCGTGGAGATGGTTTCATTTTGCCACAGAATCATCTATATTCTAACGTCATTATAATGTTTGCACAGATTGAATAATTAGAAATTAATTAGAATATATTATTATATTGGAATACATTCTTCAGCTCACTAATCCGGACGAATGATTCCTTTTCAAGAGTACTATCGGCATCATGGTGTAAAACTTGCCAACTGTGGCGCTTTGCTGACGCCGGAAATTGAAGTTGAACAGGAACCTCAGCATGGTCCATGTTTATCCATTCTTGATTTGGCCACCAAGGTGGCCCTATTGGGCCCCAAGGGTCCTGGCAGGGCCTTGGCTGCTGAGCTAATGGAGTGTCCCAAAAGCCAGGCAGGGGACTGATCATGGATGATGATGGATGATGGATGATGGATGAGGATGAGGATGATGATGAGGAGGAGGAGGAGGAGGATGATGATGATGAGGATGAGGATGAGGATGATGATGATGATGATGATGATGATGATGATGAGGATGATGAGGATGATGATGATGATGATGATGATGAGGAGGAGGAGGAGGATGAGGAGGAGGAGGATGATGATGATAATGATGATGATAATGATGATGATGAGGATGAGGATGATGATGATGATTATTATGATGTTGATGATGATGATGACGATTATGACGATGATGTTGATGATGATGATGATGACGATTATGACGATGATGATGATGATGACGACGACGATGATGATGATGATGACGACGACGACGATGATGATGATTATGATGATGATGATGATGACGATTATGACGATGATGATGATGATGACGACGACGACGATGATGATGATGATGATGACGACGACGATGATGATGATGATGATGGGTCATGGGTCATGGGTCATGTGTCATAGGTCATGGGTTATGGGTCATGGGTCATGGGTCATGGGTTATGGGTCATGGGTTATGGGTCATGGATGATGGATGATGGATGATGGATGATGATGGATTGGATTGGATTGGACTTTGGGATGGCTCATCCATCCAATCTAATGGATCATCCCTGCTGATGGATGGGATAATGCCCTAAGCAGTGGAGGATTTTTCTGTGGGACGATTCCATCAGTGCCACCATCGAGGCCACAGCCTGGGCGTCCTTTTGGTGGCGAGTGGCCTTCGCAGCCAGGCGTGACGCATGTCTGCTGCGTGTAACAGAGATTATTTATGTTGATATATATACATATATATATATAATTATATAGATATAATGTATGTAATGTGTATATATATATAGAGATAGATAAATTTGTGATAATGATGTGTATAGTCTAGTTTACAACTATTTATTAACTTGTGTATTTCTTGAGCAGTCGACATGCTGGAAATGTGTGGGGTAGTTTGATGTTTTTTTTTAATGTTAATCTAGGACCTGGCACTTTTCCAGACTGGTTGGTCGATTTGGTGTCCCAAGGACCACTATTAGAAAAAACACATAAATCTCACAAAATTATTAGCGGCTCGCCGCAGATTGGCATGGAAAACTAGACGACGGATGGCCCGAGAGCGTAGAGGAGCAGAGTCTTCTGTTGTTAGTATGGAGACACTATATTACAAGATAATATGATAAAGATGTATTATAGGCAGACGAGAAGAGTAGTATCAAGACAATATATGACTAGTACAAGACAATAGTTTGCATCGTATTTTTGTAAAGTTTTTCATACACAGAACTTTTTACAGACAGACGCTTTTGCACACAGAGACTTTTACACACAGACGCTTTTACACACAGACGATTTTGCATACAGAGACTTTTACACCCAAACACTTTTACACACAGAGACTTTTACATACACAGACGCTTTGACACACAGAAGCTGTTACACACAAACACTTTTACACACAGACGCTTTTACACACAGACGCTTTTACACACAGACGCTTTTACACACAGACGCTTTTACACACAGAGGCTTTTACACACACACGCTTTTGCACACAGACGCTTTTACACACAGACGCTTTTACACACAGGCGCTTTTACACACAGACGCTTTTACACACAGACGCTTTTACACACAGATGCTTTTACACACAGACGCTTTGACACACAAACACTTTTACACACAGACACTTTTACACACAGACGCTTTTACACACAGACGCTTTTACAAACAGACGCTTTTACACACAGATGTTTTTAGACACAGACGCTTTTACACACAGACGCTTTTACACACAAACGCTTTTACAGACAGATGCTTTTACACACAGACGCTTTTACACACAGACGCTTTTACACACAGACGCTTTTACACACAGACGCTTTGACACACAGACGCTTTTTGACGATCGACCTTCATTTCGTGCGAAAGGGTTGCTCCAGGACAAGTAAACTCGCAATTTTTCCTCAGTTTTTGACGATCGACCCTCATTTCGTGCGAAAGGGTTGCTCCGGGACAAGTAAAATCGCAGTTTTACTTCAGTTTTTGACGATCGACCCTCATTTCGTGCGAAAGGGTTGCTCCAGGACAAGTCAAATCGCAATTTTACCTGAGTTTTTGCCGATCGACCCTCATTTCGTGCGAAAGGGTTGCTCCGGGAAAGTTAAATCGCAGTTTATTTCAGTTTGACGATCGACCCTCATTTCGTGCGAAAGGTTGCGTGCGCCAGGAACAAGTCAAATCGCCAATTTTACTGGTTTTTGCCGCTCGACCCTCATTTCGTGCGAAAGGGTGTTGCCGTTTCGTGGATGACCGCCGGCACCACTAGGGCCTAAGAGAGAAAAGATAAGAAGGCGAGAGAAGAGAGAGAGAAATAGGAGACGAGAAAGGAGAGACGATGTGAAAGATGAGCAGATGTGAAGATGCGCAGATGTGAGATGAGCAGATGTGAGAGAAGGTGTGAAGAATGAGCAGATGTGAAGATGTAGCGATGTGAGAGAAGATGTGAAGATGAGCGATGTGAGAGGAAGATGTGAGAGAAGATGTGAGAGAAGATGTGACAGAAGAGGTGAAGATAAGAGAGAAGATGGAGAAGATGTGAAGATGAGCAGATGTGAAGATGAGAAGGTGTGAAGATGAGCAGATGTGAAGATGAGATGTGAGAGAAGATGTGAGAGGAGATGTGAGAGAAGATGTGAAGATGAGCAGATGTGAAGATGAGCAGATGTGAAGATGAGCAGATGTGAGAGAAGATGTGAGAGAAGATGTGAAGATGAGCAGATGAGAGATGTGAAGAAGATGAGAGAAGATGTGTGTGAAGATGAGCAGATGTGAGAGAAGATGTGAAGATGAGCAGATGTGAAGATGAGCAGATGTGAAGATGAGCAGATGTGAAGATGAACAGATGTGAAGATGAGAAGATGTGAAGATGAGAAGATGAGATACAGATGTGAAGATGAGAAGATGTGAAGATGAGAAGATAAGATACAGACCCCCACTATTGGAAGAACCCTGCGCTCAGACGCTCTCGGGAAAAATATGTTAAGTTATTTGAGACGAAAAAGATCCGGGTTACATGCGTAGCTTGCACCCGTTATCATAACGTCAAACATGCGACACCAAGGGGCCCAAGAGATTGAAATGGTCATGTTTGGCATTGACCCATTCCATTTTGTGGGGCTAAATAATTTGAAGCCAATGACCTATCATCTTATTCCATTGTTAGCACAACATGCCCATACTGTAATACGTGTCAATCGTTTTACGGAAAATGAAGCGCTTTTATTGGCATGTTTGTAGTACACCAGAGGGTTTCCATGGGTTTCCTGTAAAAAAAATCTCAGGCCCCGCTGCGATGCCGCCTTCGTCCACCGTTTCCTCCACCGGCGTGGTGCGGTGACGACACGCAGCGTGGCGAGACGCCCACTGGGGCTTTGCGAATCTCAAACGCTCAGCAGCATGGCTCCAAGGGGCAAAGAGAAAAATTGTGGGATAGATGGGGATATCATGCAGAGGTTGGCATTTTTGTTTCAATTGTTGACATAACCCACCTTTGGCGGATATCACTGAATCTCCAACAGATACTCGTACATTGCTGTTAAAAATCCCCCAAACGGGACATTTGCCAACCCCTGTAATGGAATAAGTTTAACTAACCACCAAGTATTGGAGACAGATCAACTTCCAAGCTGCTTGTCCGTGCCTGTACGAGGGGGATGGTCTCGGATGGTGGACGTACACAATGTAATGTTAATAAATCATAATAAATTATAATAAATTAATATAGATAGATAGATAGATAGATAGATAGATAGATAGATAGATAGATAGATTAGATAGATTAGATAGATTAGATAGATTAGATAGATTAGATAGATTAGATAGATTAGATAGATTAGATAGATTAGATAGATTAGATAGAGAGAGATAGATAGATAGATAGATAGATAGATAGATAGATAGATAGATAGATAGATATACATACATAATAAGTAAATTTAGTAAACCATTCATTTTTTTACCACCCATTTGTAGTAAAATTATGTAAATTTGGGGATGGTTTACCATTGCTTTGCTAACATTACCATCATGGTGTGAACATGGAGTAGCCACCGATTTATGAGTGTAGCCGTGTAGCTGGCGATATTTTGCATGAATCAGCACCGATCAAGACGGGACATCCTATACAGTATTTGGGTTTGCACAGAAACCGGGAGTATGACTCAATGGAAATTGCAAGGAGAGAGAGATGAGCAATCATGAGATTTTGGAGTACCATAGTTTCACACACAGCGATATAAAAAAGGTGGTGGACCATCGACATGATATATTGAAAGTGGAAAGAAAGTGAGAACTCTCATGGTATGAAGAGAACTATGGTTACCAGTGCAGTTGCCACTGCAGTTCACAGTCTTCCCAGTCGAGAGCAGTAGGATCCCTTCAGGTGGAGTGTCGAAACCAGCCTGCTACCCGCTGCTGTTTCCGAGCAAACCTACAAGACAAGACAACAAGACATGACAAAAAAGGTTTGTCAGACAAAAAAAAAAACATGTACTAGTCGTAGTCTTAGTAGTATATGAGTTATTCCAGCTACGAATGGGTCATGGACTGCAAGTACTATAACTCCTTTCTGGGCCATTTTTTTTGTGGTTTGCAAGAGCTTCCCATGTCTCCTGGCTGTCAAAGACACGAAGGATGGAAGATCTCATCATCATAGACGAGTTCCTGGACGCTTCCCAGCTGAATGCGCTTGTGCAACAGTTGGAGCGGCAAGGTCTTTCCGCATTTCAGGAGTACCAGCTGCCAGGCGTGGTCAACGGTGGCACCGGGCGAACGGCCCAGGTGCTGGTGCCTGGCGCTGTGGTCCAAGCTGCCAAAGGTGTCCTGGGAATCTCCAGTGAGGAAAGCCACTGGGTAACCTTACCTGCTCTGATGAGTCGCGGAGACGTCCGCAGTCATCGTGATGTGTGGCACAAGGGGCCAGGGTCGGCAGTGAACAGCCACACGGTCATCATCTGGTTGCAAGGAGGTGAATCGCAGCTGATCCTTGAAGGAACCGGCCAACAGCATGTGGTGGATGCTAGGCCTGGTCGATTGGTGGCCTTTGACAATCGATGCTTCCATCACGCAGTGCGAGGAACGGATGCTGTCAGGGCCATGGTTGGACCCATGGCCCTGGAAAGATCAGGTCGATTTCGGGCTGTGATGGACGTGAGTGTACAACACAATCGTGGTTGGTGCGCAAACTGCCTTTGCTGCTGTTTTCTGTGTTGCGCATTGCCTGTGTTACTTCTATGCGAAGCTGTAGTAGGAGACTTGCAAGACTTAAAATGACCCAAAAAGATCCAACGATTATATTGGACAGACTTTCATATTCCATTGTTTTTTTTCGAGCATGGTCTCGCAGAGTCTCGTATTTTTTGCACCCTTGTGTTCAGTATTGCTGGGTGATTTTTGAAAGTTAGATCGCACACTGGTAGGAAGCGGGCTCTTCCTTTTACTCTTGGCGGTTCGGGCAGTCCTTGGAACATTGCGTGGTGCTTTGGTTGCTACAATTCTGACGCCCATCTTAGCGCTTTGCTACACAGGCACAACCCTCTATTGGAGCCCTTGTATTTTTTTCCGAGCATGCAAAGGACTCCGAGGAGAATTTCGGTCCACGTGTTTGCTGACCTTGCTTCTCCTGCCCCTGCGGGCGCCTGTTGTGCTGGTGCTATCATTGGTGCTCATTTTCCTGTTGACCTTTTTCTGGATCGTCTTTGCTACTTTGATCTATGAAGAAGAGACTGAGGAATGCAAAAACCTGCTTCTTGGAGGTTTAATCGCTGTTGGGCCCTTCTCTGGAGTGCTTCAATTTCTGCCAAAGATTACGATGGATTGGTGGCGAGACTTGCACAGAAATTACACGCGTGCTATTTGGTCTTCCACCTGGCAAGTATTGTTTAAAAATGACCCATGAATGCCCATGATGGGTAACAGCATCCAAACCCCATGTGACCTTCAAAATCTTTCTAAACTTCGCTGCAAACATACAAATCGTGATCATAATTAGCCCAACTCATCCCAACTCAGATTCAGATGCACCTATCAGGTGGCAATCTCTGTAGAATCAGATGGGACCAGTCTCAGTATTGAAAATTGACAGCTACATCCCCAAATCATGGTTGTTTCCACTCAGTATCAGTAGAGATTAATATTATGTGCATTGTTCCACCAATAAGCAGGTGTGTTACCCATAGGGATAGTCTATGATAGTCTCATATGATCTCATATGACTCATATGTATATTCATTCACCATGCCCGACATGTCCTCCTTTGAGGATACCACGCAACTTGGCGTCCCGAGCTCTCCATTTTGCCGCAACGCCCGACAGATCCGGTGGAGCCGCAATGGTTTGGCGCCGACTTGGACTCGCAGCTGGGCCGAAATCCAGCGGTGTTCCTGGATCAATCTGAGACCTGGCAGTATGTGGCCGGTCGGATCAGCACCAAGGACTGGGAAGCTTGGAATGATCTTGGAATGGATTGCTGTCCATGGTCATGATGTTCAGGGTATGTCATGATATACATATATACTGTGTATATGATATTATATTATATTATATATATTATATTATATTATATTATATTATTATAGTATATTACTGTATATTATATTATATTATACTATATTATATTATATTATATAGATTATATTATATTATATTATAGTATATTATTATAGTATATTACTGTATATTATATTATTATATTATATTATATTTTATATTATATTATATTATTATATTATAGTCTAGTCTATTATAATTATTATATACTATATTATAATTATTATATACTATATTATATTATAGTATATTATAGTATATTACTGTATATTATATTATATTATACTATATTATATTATATTATATAGATTATATTATATTATATTATAGTATATTATTATAGTATATTACTGTATATTATATTATATTATATTATATTATATTTTATTATATTATATTATTATATTATAGTCTAGTCTATTATAATTATTATATACTATATTATAATTATTATATACTATATTATATTATAGTATATTATAGTATATTACTGTTTATTATATTATATTATATTATATTATATTATATTATATATTTTATTATATTATATTATATTATATTATATATATAATATTATATTATATTATATATTATGTTATATTATATTATAGTATATTATATTATATTATTATATTATAGTCTAGTCTATTATAATTATTATATACATTTTATTATATTATGTATAATTGTATATATATATATATTATACTTATTATTTAATATTATATATATTATAATTATTATATACATATTATTATATTATGTATAATTGTATATATATATATTATACTTATTATTTAATATTATATATATTATAATTATTATATACATAATATAATATAATATATTTATATATATCATCATGGTCATGATTCGGTCATGCATAAGTTTCTTCCGGGTCAGATTTTTTGAGAAGCATTGTGGGTGACAGATCCCATCAAAGTGCAGGAGGTGTGGGAGATTTCCATGAAAAGCACCACTGCTTTGGGAGTGGAACTCCATTCACAAGGCTACATCACAGATGAGGACACGGGTGGATGGGTCAAACCCCTGGTACCCTGGTGATAAAAAATAGATGGTACTCATATACTAATGGATGTTTATCCTCGCAACCATTAGGTTCATAGGTTTTAACCATTCCCATAAAATCTGATCTACTCTCCAGTAAAATAGCATACGATTTGGAAGATCTATCATACTAGTAATTCATCAATTTAATAGTAGATTATATGCATTCAATATTTGTCATTCATTTCCCTTGACTTTTCCCATCTTTTTTCCAGGACATCCTTTCTTTGGAACCCTTTCTCTTCGTGGGTTTACCCGCCGCCGCAGTGGTGCGTTTGGTGCTCCGTTCCCTGCACAGTGAGGGCTTGGACTTCGTAGAGGTGCAGGTGACAGCAGCGAATCGTCCTCATAACGCCTTCGCCGATAGTAGCTGGGCTCTTTATCTTCAAAAAACCATAGCAGAAATTGCTGGGATGTTTATGGATAAATGATATGGATCCATCAAATGTTGGGAGGTGTCTCTTTATTTATGTTGATTATCTGAAAAACTTAGATGTTTGGTGGTGTCTGGTTTCTGTTTAAAAGAAACTGCGGTTAAATTGTGTTGGGAGAGAAATCATCTGCAGAATCAGATGTGATGTCTACGTTTGGTAATTAATCGTTAGGATATTTTAGTGTCATCTGAAAAACTTAGATGTTGAGTGGTTTCTGTTGGTGGTTTAAGTTATCGTTGGTTACGTGGTAAACACTTTTCTGATTGTAAAAACACGATATGATTGTTAATATTGATCGATGAATATTCTGTATATGGAAACCACCAGGCATTTGGTCAATGGCCATGAAAGCCAAACGCGAAGCGGATCGCGCCAAACCCATCAGCGACCTGGAGAAAGAGTACCTCACCGTCATGGCCCTGCAACGGCCGGATGAGACCGGCACCAAGTCAACTTGGGAAAGCATTGAGAAGTCAAGGCAAGCTGAGCTGAGCAAAATTGTGGCCGCAGCTGTTGACTTATCCTTAACGGCTTCCAGATCCAAAGATTTCAAAGCCTCGATTGGCTCAGTGATTCAAGGAATTCTGGAGACACCTCAGCCAAAGGAAGGCTGGGCGTAGAACACCGAAGAAGTCATGACTGGTTCGAACATCGACCAAATGACGTGGTGGCTTCTGGGCTTTGAGAAATGTGCAAAGCCGGAGCCGGAGCCTATTTGAAGGCGCTTGTTTCTGAGCACGGTGATCCAACGGATTGCCCCGTCATCATTCCGGAAAAGTATCATGCAGAGATTTACCAGTTTTGAATCAGCAGGTGGAACAACATATTGCTCCTATATGTACAAATCCGACAAATCCCCACCATAATTGTTTTCTGATTCTGGGAAGAATTATTGCAGGCCGAAAAAAAAACTCTTGGCAGAAAGGAATGAAGACATACTACGTTACTATGTGACTGTACCTATGGAGCATACCCTAAGTCCCTTCAGCCCCTCCCATGACAGGAATCCTCTGAAAAATCCTCTGAAAAAACCTCTTCAGACAGCGCTATGCTCTAGTAGGCTCTAGAGATCTGGAATTATCTCAAATGTAGTTTTTGTTGATCTTTTCAGAGTGCCTGAAATCAATTGAAATTGCCCAGATGATTTGAAGTCTCAGGTTCGTTTCTGCCCGATGTGGAGATCCATGCCGCTCGATATCCAGTGGAACTCCCCGGCTGGGATGCAGTCCCCGCTGAGGATTTAAGATTGGATCTCTACATTCTCTGCAGATTCAATGCCGAAAGATGTTGCCACCAAATTTATGCTATAATCCAAAAACTGGGATACCCCGAGAGAGTTGGTTTTTGTTGTTTTTGGAGAGAATGATGTTCAAAACCATTACTGTAGATTTTAGAGGGTGCCCTACCTTTGTATCTTGAGAGCATCTCCCTCACAGGCTCATTCGACCCCTCGATAAGGGCAAAAAAACAATGATAAAACATGTATCATGCTAAAAGATGCTAAAAGATGCCAAAAGTTCAGTAGGAAAAACCCTCGAACATCTCCAGAGGGAAAAGAGCATGGAAAGTCCAATGGAAAACATGGAAAACATATGATCTTTGCCCATGGAAAGTCTATTGATTTCCCCACGAGGTGCTTGGAGCTTTCGCAGAAGTGGAGGACGGCTGCGTCTTCATGGAGACAGTGATGCACGTTGCTTCAAGGGACCGCGGCCTGGGCTGTTGGATGATCTGGAGATATTGGATGATTTGCTGGATGATCTAATTAATTTATTATGAATCTATATCAATTTAATCTTATTTAATCTAGATCTAGATCTAGAATGATCTAAATCTAAATTTCTAAGTCTAAATCTGATACTATTTGTCCATCTACTGTATCATCTATCTATCTATCTATCTATCTATCTATCTAGGTGTACTAGTACAGCATTAAGACATTGTCATTATAACGTTATAAGTTACAACTATAACGTATACTGTAACATTTAGATATACCATACTATTTATATAGTAAATATAATAACATGTTGTATATATTCTAATTTGATATATAGTTGTAATTATTTGTATGTTATCTGGATTGGGGAGATGGTGTCTTCAGTGATGGGCGAAGTCAGCGACAGGACGGCTGCTTCATCACCCAGGCAGGCAGCAATCTGCGCACGGTGCCGGAGAGTTTCTCCAGCTCATGGCGCGGCTCCCTTGCGAACCAGGCGGAGATGGGAGATCTCAGGATATTTTGAGGATATCTCAGGATGAGTTTAGATTTGGAATTATAGGAAATACAAAATTTAAATCATTCTAAATCTATAATCTGATGCTATTCAGTGAAAATCTGAGCTTTTGATCAAAGATTTGGAATGATTTGGAAGGCCATGGAAGGCCGGTTCTGCCTTGGTCTACTCGTACCTACCTGCTAGATTTTTGAAGATTCTCACGATATTCCACGAAATGTTCGACGACGTCCTGCAGGAAGCGGATGTCGAGTGTTCCAGTGCCTCCGCTTTTGGTTTTTTGGCTTTAATTTACGGCCCCCAGGAAATGAGGGAAGGAGTTGTGCGCTTACAAAGCGGCCACGTTACAAAGGCTCTCTTTGTATTTTGATGTGGATTGCTCCATCTCTGACATACTGGCATAGACATAGTCTTGAGGCAGTCCTGAGGGTTTTGGCGTAGTGGTCATCAAAATCTTCACCTGCATCGGCATGGTATGGGTTTAGGTCAAAATTGGGTAGCCCAATAATTAGATGGTTATCTAAACATGAGTCCTATAAAATCTTTGGTTCCATAGGGCTACCCAATTTTAACACATATTTTGCCATCATTTCTATCACAGCGCATCCGAAAAAAGGCACCGACGTCGTCGTGAGATGCGCTTTTCCGGCTGAAGACCAGCGGCTGCTGCTGAGATTGGAGACAGGTCACTGAGGGATCGTGATGGATGGAGAATCGAAAGATAATTTAAAAAAATTAGAATGGTATGGTTATGTATGGTCAATCGGGGGATTGTTAATCCTAACCTGACATAGCCTTAGCGCAGTTCAGTCACTTTTTCACGATGTCAAATTTGTGGGGCTTGACGCCGCGCTGCAGGTGATTGGAAGTCTCCAGACATCCCTTTTTGTGACTTGAAGCAAGAAGGGCAGCGACATCTCACTGTATGCACTGGCGTGATGTTCAATGCAGGCGTGTGCATCCTGTTTCCTCCTGGAGCCACATTATCTATCTATATTACATATTATATGTAGAAAAGGAGCCTATGAATTCTATGAATATAGGTGTGCAGAATTATTCAGAAATAATAATGATACAATGTATGATACATCTACAGCCTCATGCCTTTCCACCAGTTGTCGTCATTTGTCGTGCCAGGTCAGCGCTTAGCAGGTTCCTCGTTGCTTCAGCAGTGGTTGACCTATCACCAGGCGAGCAGGGCACGGGCACGCTGTCAGTGGACTAATCCAGGCATCACTACTCAAGACATATCAAGACATCAAACCTCATAAACCTCTCCGTCTCAGAATTTCAGTGAACTTTTGAACACGTTGATGACTGTTGATTCATTGAAAAGACCGATTCCAAAGGTTTCCATGTCACGGCAGGCCATTGGTGTGGATCACTTTGCCCTTTACGACTCAGATGGATCTGCCGCCCCAATGTTGGATCAATGGCGGAGGGGCCCATGGGGCACAGCACAGGCTGGGTCGTCAACGTGGATTAGCCCACTCGTTTAGACATCTTGAAACCAAAACAGCATCTGTTGACATTTTAAGGAACCAGAAACCAGTTGGAGGTAGGAAGTTGCTACCACCAGCCGGGAGGTGCATATATCTATAAAGCTTCAAAACACTGGGTCTTCAATGCCATGAATTCTGCAATGCCATGAATAGTACTGCACTGTTCTGCTTCCACAGGAGATTCAATCACGCGTGCAAGACAAAGCCGTTGTTTGAAGATCATTCGCCAGCAGCCGCTGTTTCATTGTCATAATGTGCATCCGCTAGAGAATTCTGTTTGATATTTGTGTACATATGGTGATCGATCTAAAGGTCCTTGTAAGGAGTTTTAATTGCGAAAGCCGTGCATGTTATGTTGGAAACCCTCGCGAAAGTTTTTTTTCGAATTCGCGAAAGTAAAATGTTATTTCGCGAAAGTTTCGCGAAAGTTGGGTATTATAATCATTATATGTAAAGGGCTGCCACCCACTGCCGCCCGGGGTCCGGCAGGAAAAAGGCACCAGAGAATGCGAGTAGCAGTAGCCAAGTTTCCAAAAGTGAGGCTTTGCGAGAGCCAAACGCCAAGGCCCCTGGTCTTCGCTTTTCCTTCAGTGCACCCCCTGCTGATGGCCGGGGTCTGTGAATAGGGATATTTTCGCGAAAGTTCCGCGAAAGTTATGCGAAAGAGCGGGCGAAAGTCAAAGTGCATGTTGAAGGGGGTGGGCCAGTAAACTTTGCAAAAAAAATCTGTCCTGAGAAGGGATTCCGTGATGCTAGCTGCATGTTTAAAAGGCTACCAAGAAGTGATCCGTGATTCCCTGGCGTAATTTGGCAGGTGGTGAACGAATCTTCATAAGAGGTGTTGTTGGCCAACATGGGCCCCGCGAAAGATAAACATGGGGTTCGCGAAAGTTTCGCGAAAGTAAAATGTTTATTCGCGAAGAATGGCCGTTCCGGGATAAAGGAATTTTGATCAACAACCATATATATATATACTGGAACATAATAATAATGACATAGTGTGTATATATATATATATGTATGATATATGTATACATATATACACTATGTTCCAATATATGATATATAATTATACATGTATGTGCAGAGGCAGACATAGTAATTTGACTTTAATGTATAGAAGCTATGGCCCATTCCAGAGCTGTTTGCATCACAAGGCCAATTTCCCCAGTGCAAGCGGGCTTTCACCCCAGTACCCTATGCAAACACTTCCAATTTCAGGGTTGAGCTCGCCATATTTTACCTCAACAAATCAACAAATAGCACCAGTTCCACGACCCTAATGGCCTAATGATTAGATTAAACTAGCCCCATTCAAAGCCAATGGTTGATCATCGTTGTCCTGAATTGAATATATATTACAGAACCACAAATAGCCATACACAACCATGAATAAATAACCATATATATATAATTATACACTAATAGCCATAGAGAACTGAGAACCATACCTAACCATAAACAGCTATAAACAACCATCTAGATAATCACAAATCGGTTCCCCATCTTCGGCATGTTTTTCAACGATCCCATCTGGCAGGTGTCCTACTTCCCATTTTGGCCCGAGAAGTTGTCCTCGAAGTTGGCCTCGATCAGCCGCTTGGCACATTGTCGCCACTGCTTGAGCGTGCTGGCGGAGGCGCAGCGTATAGCTGGCTGAGGGATGGTGAATCCATGTGAATTCCATGGCAACTTGTGAAACATGTGAAACAAAGAAAATATATGTTTTATATGTTGCTTGAGTTAAATTTGACTTCTACAGTTAGGTTCATTCATGTAATTAGTTGGTATTTCGAAATTGGGGCAGCCGTGGTCCATCTTTTTCCTCAGCGGATCTTGCTGTGATGCGCATCCCATGCTGCAACAGCTGTTAGAGCCAGGCGCATTGCTTGTGGAGTCAGCGAGGGCGATCAGACTGGGCCACTGAGCGTTTGTGAAAACCTGGAATGAAAATACCAAGTGGAAAAAGTATGAAAAAGTCGTATGGGAGGTGTTTGCAATAATGGGCTCAAAATTGTGAAAATTCTGTTCATCCCTCAGACAAACTATCGATATTTCTTTGCTGAATTGTGTTTTTTGAACAGGATTTCGACTTCAAACCTCCATTGCATAGTCACGAGAGTCCCTGCATATGTTACTAAAATTCGCTGATGGCTTTGAGCCAACAAACTGTGTTTCATCAACATCATTCATGGCATTGGTCAAGTGGGTCAAGCGTTTAATTGTTGTTAAATCAGTAGGCTCTAGGGAAGTTTGTGATGGTGAGCTGCCTCCCCTGACGTCTGGCGTTCCTTGCATTCCTGAAGGTAATAACCTTGCACAGCTTTGATGCCTACCTGACACCAGTGCCCAAGCTGAAACTTGGAAGATGCCACAGAAGGAGCAAGGCTGTAGGGGTCTTGGTAAGGTCCTGCACTTTCCATGTCCACATGGGGGTTTCCATAAATGGGTACCCCTAAATCATCCATTTTCATAGGATGTTCACGTATAAACCATCCATTTTGGGGTAATTACCACCATTTCTGGAAACCCCCACATGGCAAAGACCATGAAGTGTTCGCCAGAGAAATTGGCAGGTTCCTGGTCAACGACTGCATCCAGTATTGGAGCATCTGGAGCAGAAGCGGGAAGAGATTGGCACAGTTCCTTGTCAAAGTGGGATGAACAGAGGGTGTGTTGCGGAACATTTCCCAAAGTCATTGGGCCGGCTGTGGCAAATTGTTACAACACATGGAATGATTTGAGATCGTGGGTCGTTGATTTGCAAGCCATTCTTGCTCTCTAAAGATTTTGGCGCACAGAACACGGCAAGAGTAGACTGCACTAGGAGTACGGTAACGACATTTAAATATGTGGAAGGCGGGCCAGACCGCGAGGCCCCGGAGGTAGTCTAAAATACCAGTTCGTATATGTTTAATCCGTTTGTTAAAGTGGCTGGTCGGGCCACGGAAAACCTTCCCGGAGGTAGTCTAAAATGATAATTCATATACTAAAAAATCCGTATATTCAAATGTAGTTACCGTATTCTAGCTGCGATGATTGCATTTTTTGATGTCCAATGAATCATATGGGGTCACTTGATATGTTGTACATTTTGCACAAATGACTCTTTCAAGCTGAGGTCAAACCAACAGTAGTTGCTGGGATTTGAGAGTTGTGCTGCTGATTGTTTGCTCTGCTATGCCTGCAGGTGCCGCTATCAATGATGGACTATGGTGGCCAAATCAACCCGAATTCTTCTTGGCTGATTGAAACATGGCTGAAGTCATGGCTGAAGTCTTATTTTGATTCTTGCAGCATCTTGCAGCTGTGAATTGAATGTGATAGCACCATATAGCACCAAGCGGTTTTAGCCAAGCTGGGACTGCCAGTCGCTCAGGGACGGTATCTGCACCGTGCAGTGGCGCCAGTGCGCGTGCTGGCAGAGATTGGACGAGGGAATCCACGAGATGACTGCTGGTTGAATCATCCTGGTGTCACCTTGAAGAATCCCTTGAATGACGCTTGGACTCTCACTGGGTGAGGAAGACAAGATGATTATCCATAGATTCCATGGACTGTAACAGAGGTTTTTCCTGTGAACTTTGAAATCGAATCTGGGAGACTTGGTACAGGAATCCCATCCCCCGATTTTATGAAAAACACTCCCTAGAAATCCATGCTTTAGTTTGGTTTAGTAGGGAATTTCATGGAATTTCCACAGAATTGGGACCATTTTAGCGGGGTGTTTGGCCTAGGAGTTGGAGAGCTGCTGGATCACCATAGATCTCATGTCAAATCATGCGGGGGTCAAGCCTAAATTGAAACCCATCATTGGGGGGGTGGGATGGTCACAAGTGATGAAATTACAGATAGATGTTATAATATATATATATGCACATATCATTAATTATATAATTATATATGTATAATATATGATAATATGATATGATATATATATGTAACATGTGCTGAATGTCACTCTAAATCCTTCTGTCCTTGCGAATCAACACATCAACATACGCCTAGGTGTGGGGCGTCTACGATCACTATGCACGATCCAGCCCTGGCGCCTTGGACGTTGAAGTCCCATGGCAGCTGTTGCGAGTGAACCACTATGTGCGGGGCTTAGCATTGCAGGTGGGCCAAATAGACGGAAGGATAGGTGTTTTGCCATAGGAAAGCCATCGTCATGTAAAAGAATGTGTTTCCTCACTTGGTTTTTTTCCTTTTTTTTCCAACATGTGGCAAGGGGTTACTTGCAGGAAAGGTTCAGGTTGTTAAGTCCTGGCGTCCAGGACTTGTTTGAGATGTGCAGATTAAATCCCACACAAGGGTTTCAGAGTGGGAGAGAGATGGTAGGGGGGGCGGGGCGTGTAAATAAAGCATCATAAAAAATCATAAAACACATTACATATAATTATTTATATTACAAGGGGCTCATAGTCAGTTTTGACAACACCATGTTACATGACAATGGCTTAGGGTTGGAATGGCAAATTGGATGTCCACGGCAACTTGCTCTGATAAAACGGCTGAACTTGGGGTCCGGTGTGTCACGTGTGAAGCCTTTGGAAGAGACATTGACATACAGTACCCACGTTTTGAACAGTGGTCCTTGGAGTAAATGCTCAAGGAATTCTGATTGCATGTGGTATGGTCAAAGTTGGGTTCTTAGACCATTAAATGGCATTTAAAGGGTTTCTATGCACTAAACATACCATTTGAATGGTTAATATATGGCCATAATTTGAACACCATTAAATGGTGATCTGTGTGTGTGTTGTAATTTCGAGCCACATTGGATCCCACATCGCTTTGGCTTGGCACACATCGCTTTGCCATGTCACACTAGGTCGACATCTTTGGAGAACGATGCGCCAGCCGTTTCTTGCCATGCCGCTCGCTTGTCATAGTCACCCTGACAGGGTCTCACGGCGCAGCACGGGAGCACTGCGGGATCTGAAGTTAAACAGATTTGGATCAGAATTTAAGACCCTGGGCCTACAATTGTTGATGATCTTTTGTTTTGTATCATAGATAAGACATGGTGAAATGTTGGAAATTAAAGGTAATTAATTTTGGGTACCTCATTTTGACACATGATCAGATGTTGACTCGTTCAGCGACCGTATGAAATATGTCTAATTATGTAGATAACGTATGGGTTTCCCTTGGTTTTCCCCCAAAAGAATCCAGAAGATATCTGGTTAATTTTAACGACCTCACTGCGACCTCACTGGAATTGTGGTTACTAAGGGGACCTAAGGGGGTGAACTATCTACAAATAGCCTTATTTGAGGTTAGTGAATTACTATAATTTACCCAGAGATATCAAAAGATGAGTGACACATCAATCCAAGATATCTCATGACGGTTACCAAGCTGGTCTATGAATTCAAGAGATATCCCGGGGAGTTCCGTTCTTGACACAGCTTAGGTGTTGTCTTTGATGCTGGGATGCTTTGGATTCTACCTGAGCTTCAAGATGGAGATTGACGCTTTGATGACCACCCCAAAGTAGTGCCTTCTGGTATTTCAAGGACTGTCAGGGGCAAGTATACGAAACGACAATTAGAATATGGCAGTACAGAAATTCTCGGGCTTGGAATGAACTTGAATATGACGGAAGAAAACATTCTCAATAGATCTTATGGGGTTGTCTGAAAACTGGACTAAACTGGCTACCGGCTACCCATTCCAGTCCATTCGATCCACTGATTAATCACCATGTTTCCATATGTTTCCCTATTTCAAAAAATCATCCGCAAATCAAACATAGCGAGCTGGAAGATTCCCCACTTATGAGTTTTCCAGATTTTCCAGCTACAAAGGCTATAAGGATTTTCCGATTTTCCAATGTGTTCCTCGGATTCCAGGATTTTCCCGGCTCGCCATGTTTGACGACCAGAGGCTGAGCTCGATGAGGCGATGAGGCGATGGATATCCCAGATCCATATTGATGGATTTACGAATGATCATCTCTTGGTGAAACAGTTGATCACTGACAAATGATCTGATATGATCAAATATAATCAAATATATATATATATTATGCATATATATATATAATTATATATACACATATTACATATACATGTATATATAAATGAGATACTGATATCGTTGTAATCCATATCGCTCCAAAGCTACGGATGAAAATGGACAGACCACCAATTCTGAACTTGGGATTTGGACCATCAGGTGATGGGGGATGAACATCTAGCAGCAGCGCTACGGTTTTGACCTATACGATTTTGCATTATTTTCTGGACATTTCTGGACATTTCTGGACAAAGCAACATGGTCAAGTTTTGAGTGTTTTGACGTATGTGTCACTGCCATGCAGAGATAGTGATGTATGTCAAAGTCAGTTTGGAAGGGAAATTATAAACACATGTTTCATATATGTTTCATGATGATTCCTGCAAAAAGTTCTGTGAAAAATTCAGAAAGATCCCGTCCCGCTTTGGATTTGCATTTGAGATTGTGGAGCCAAAGGTGCTCCCGGGGCACTGAATCTATGCGTATCGTATTGGAGTATGCAGCAAGACTCAAAGATTTCAGCGCTACTTGACTTCATGTTGCTTTCATGCTGAATGAGAAGGCTATTCAAGCTATGATACTGTAAGTGATAAGCTGATAAGTATTGATAAGTCACTTTAGTCCATTGGGTATTGTGCCTTCGCAGCCATGGCACGTCGCAGCAGCTCGGCGTCACGTCGCAGTGAGACCACAATGCTTCCAGCATCCACACAGGTGGAGTTACGGCTGCGGCAGATCAAGGGTCTAACTGTTCTAACTGAAGGAGTTTATCATTTATAGAGGTTTCCTAACTTGAGGGGTACCATGGGGTACTGCAAAATTGGCAATGATCAATGTGAAAAGCCATGGTTTGGGGATGTTTGGAGTACCTGTATTTTAGGAACCCCCCTTGAAGGGCATCAGATTGGCATCGTTGGAAAACATGTCCCATCTGTCCCATCAGCCGAGAAGGATTTGAGTTGGTTCCCATGGAATTCATGGGAATTCACACGAATTCACCATACTCATCCACATTCCACTATTCCAGCAGGTTGTGTATGTTTGTGTGGAAGCTGCTTTGTGGTGGAATGGAAGCTGCTTTGTGGTGGAATGGAAGCTGACAGGCTGGTTTCGCCGGTTTGGCAACTGTAGAGACGCGAGCGCCACACATTTTTCGTGGTATACACGTGGTGCCATAGTAGCATTGGGGGTGGGGAGCTGGATGGTCATGACTTTGAACATCGCCTATGTCAGGGCCTATGGCCTATGTCCTTTGAAGATGTTCAGAGACTCACCAAATTCTAGGTATGTATATATATATACTGTATTGTATGTATAATTACTGTACCTGTATCGACCAAATCTGATATGCATAAGATATCATTTGATTTACTGCCACTCCGACTGGGCACCAGATGGGGCGCCAGCTGCTCTTTGTGTTGCAAGGAAAGACGCCAAGAGCGCGTGCTGGGGTGCTGTCGATGTGTCTCTGCAAACTGTGACAACCGACCATTTCAAGCCGGGCAATTCCGTGCCTGGGGCCCCAGTCCATGGACCCAACAAAGGGCTCGATTTCCTCATATCTGAAAGGCTTGATTTCCAATGACACTAGTTGCACTACAGTAGCCTTTCGAGATGCTCAATGCATTCCTGAGTCAGCTTGGAAGCAGAATCAGAGCTTGGAACCAGCGAGTATGTAGTAATATACTGTAGGCATTTAGCTGTTTTATACCGAGTATACTTGCCCGGCATGGAACTTGATTATCGATTTGCATACGGCGTACCAAGGCTGATCCAGAAATGCTTTGCCGCAGGCGTGACAAGCGTGGCATAGCGTAGAAAATTTGGGATCAGATCCCCTTCATATCCTTCAACCATTCACATTCCATTCATATTCCATTCACATTTTTCCGAAGATTTGAGGTACGGTCCAAATAGCGGTAGATCAATTTAGTAGGGTGGAGTCACACATGTATGGAAAGATATGGAAAGATTGAAAATTTTATGAACGGCTGTAAAGCGATACAGTCCGCCCCAAAAGCGATCGCCTGAAAGATGGTTCGAGTCAAATGGAGGTTTGCGAAAAAAATATTGGGGGATCCCAAATCATCCATGTCAATTGGTTTTTTGATGGTTTTGATCATAAACTTCATAAACCATCCATTTTGGGGTGCTACCCATTCACTGATGTACACACCCAAATGTTGAGAATATTTGCTGGTTACTGTAAACAGGTGCAAGATGAAACCTGCACCAGCCAATATCTACAGCCCGGAAGTTATGGCAGCCCTGAGATCACGTGGAGGCTGGACATGGGCATTTCACCATCAGGCACTGTTCTTGATATGTGAAAATGTGTCATCATGTTCCAGTGTTTCGCGGTCTTGTAGATATATTATTGGTGGTTATTTACACGTCTATTTAACATGTCCATGTGTATGTGTATATATATATAATATATGTATTTGCACAATACAATGATTAACGTGGGTAGATTTCGTATTTCTTCAGAAAGGAGTATGTACAGTGTTGTGTACTTTACTGGGTTTATGTCGTTTCTTGTCTCGTCTCCCCTGAAGTTGTCTCAGGTCGGTGTGCCGTGGGGAAGTGAGTGTATAAAAGATATATAATTAATTATATATATATATATGATATTATGATTCCATTGGATCATTGCTTATTTTAGGACCACAAAAGGCATAGGCACGCTGAATTTCACCAACATGAACCTACCATTTGTAGTCATAAACCTTCTTATTGTTTGTCCATTGCAGGGCACACAACGCAGGGGTACACTGCTGGGTCAGGGATGCTTTGCACGACTTATTTGGCACTAGGTGTGCCCATTGGGAAACAGATAATTAAACTACTGGGTCGATGTTGTAACAAGTGCCGATGACAAGATCTTGTGCCAAATCGTGGTGTGCCTATGGGGAAAGGCCCACATGGGCAGCGCCTATGTCTTCTCTTCTGTCTCCTTGCTCTTACCTGCAGCTGCTGCTTGGCTTGGCTTCCTCTTCTGCTCCACCGCTGAAAGCTCTTGAGTTTTACTGTTCTGAAAAGATTGCGAAAGCGTGTGGCTACCAAAGACTTTGTCAGGAGACTTACGGGGTCAGTCTCCCAAAATAATTTGGACCTCGTTCGCACCTCGTTCGGACCTCGTTAAAATATGTTAAAATTGCAGCCAGTCAAAACCCAGCCCAGAGAGGTTTTGGAAAGGCTTTGCAATGGTAGCTTCTGGATGGCCTGGGGTAACCCTGTGTGCCATTGGGATGGGGTAACTTCTGGGTGCCTGGGGTAAGAGACAACATCCGCCCAGTACTGTATGTGGCAAACAAACCGCTTTTGGTTTGTTGCATCCTACATATTCTTGGATTTTTTTCTGCATCTCATGGCCAGGACCCATTTGGACGCGCTTGTTGAAGGGTGAGCTGCAGAGCCGGCGCGCCCAAGCGGTGCTGCCAGAATAGCCATGACGAGCCATGACAACCGTGGCACGTCATTGGCTGATTACAGAATTTGAGCAACTTGTTGAGATAGTTGTTGAGACCATTTGAGTAGTTTTTCCGTTTTTCTTGTGTGTGTGTGTCTGACAATAACATATAATGATTAATTTATTTATATATATATTATATATATATGTATAATATATGTTTGATTATAATATATATATATTATATTGCTTTACTATCTAGAATAACTTGAAAGATATTTGAATCCAGCGCGAATATCTTGTATGGGTCACCCTTTTTACTAGAAATCTTCCCTCGGTGAAGTCCTGTTGGGATCCCCCAAGGGGTCCCCCAAGGGGACCCCTGGCCTTAGCACAGCATGCTGCTTCGGTAAGGTTGGGATTTGACATAGATTCCTGCTGAGGTTCAAACATGAGAGACTGTTGGCACACTTGTACATGATAGGACCACTTAATAGGCAACTATGGGTTCAATGATCAACTTTAGGAGAACAACAATCCTTTCTGATGATGTTTGCCGTTTTTCCGAAGCTGCTGAGCTGTTTAGAACATCGCCTCACCTATTTGGTGAGCGCAACATGCTACTGCAGTGCATCCCTCACGAATGTACCATTCGCAGGAGGCTCCTGTTGACTCCTTAAACAACGCCAGTGCTGACTGCACGTGAGGAGTAAAAGCCTACTGACATTGACTGCAGGAGCTGCGACATGAGATGATATCCCACCGACTTGTTGTCGCTCAACTGTTGTGGTTGTGACATCCCCATGCTCTGCGCTGTGTGAAAATTTAGCATTTTGATGACCTGTTTCCAGAATGACCTGAAGGCTTGACACTGCTGCTAAAAAAAGGACCTGCGAGGCCTGCGGCAACAGCAATAATCCAAGGTGGTGGGCCCTTGTGACAATTCGTGGTTCATAGTGAGTCATAGTGAGTCATAGTGAGTCATAGTGGTCTTCACCTCAGCTGCTTGCATCAGGGATTAATTCAAGAGGGTGGATTGCTTGAGATTTAGTAGTTTGAAAGGAACGAGTGCCGCATTTCATTAAGAGCCTGCGAGACGCTTTTCCATCAGTCTGCCGCGCCAGACTAACTTCGCAAATAATTTGTTTGTAGCAAGACTTCTACTGCACTATTAGGATGCAGCAGAGATAGAGCGGATTGGGGGAATGGTGCACAAGGACTACTAGATGCAGAACGGTGAAGCAATGTAGCACGCTCAAAGCAGAAAGAATTCATCTCAAGTCTTTCATTGATTTTGTGTTTGCATCCCTCGTTTGCCATGGATGGTAAGATATGCTTCAAACCTGAAAGGTGTTACGACGTGTTGCACATCCTGGTGAAGTACGTGCAGAGAAGCCCTGGAAGGTCCGCAGCGACGGTGTCTATCGGTTGAGAGGGGAGAGCAAACAGAACAGATCAGAACACGCGGGTCGAATGATGCCATATGATTCATATGCCAACAGAATCTTTCAGATTCTTCAGCAGAGCACCAGGATTTTGAACCTCATTTGCTGGTTGTAGTATGTTGTTGTCACTGTTGAAGACACTGAGTCATTGTCTAAAAGAGAAACTGAGCGATTATTTTTGTTCGCCGGCAGGGGTTGACATTTGTGACCGCAACGAAGCCCATACGGGTCCTGTTCGATAGTAAGGGCACTGGGCATTGTGTGTAGCTGTCAGTGGATGGGTTCAGATTCACATCTAGATGCATGAAATTGGTGCTTCTGTTTCACTGAGACACAATATATAAATAAATATATATATATCATTGTATATCCATATAAATATATGTATAGTATATAGTGATATAATATATATATATAGATATGATAGCATTTGATTGGATTCAGCCATGCCACGCCACATTCATTAGTCACATCTCATTCAATCTTGATATCCGAGCGTATCCAACCTCATTCATTGAAGAGACTTTGTCTTTGTCATTCGAAAAAGTTCCCCTTGCGATGACACGACTTGCAATCAAGGTGCCTCCGGTCCTGCTTCTCCATAGTCTGGGAATGCTGAGCATTAATGTGGCCATCGATGTTACGAATGGTGAGCATTAACGCAGAGGAGAAAACATGGACTGTGCAGAGTGCGGCCGTGCTGGATTTTCAAGTGGATCAGATTTGATTTCCGGATATTTCCGGTCTTTCTTTTGTTTGAGTATGATCAGCAGGGAAAGAGATAGTGCAGCACCTACTGGAAGCATTTGCCAAATCGGGGAGATAAAGACAAAAAGAAGAGCTACGGACAGAGATTTGGCACCATCTGACAACATTTGGAGGTTTTCTAAGATATATTAAACAAGATTAAACCATATTAAACCCCCAAATCATCCATGGTCCATCGGAATAGGATTCTCCAGTATTGGGGTACCCATATTTCTGGAACCCCGTGGCAAAGACCTGTTGGAGCCACTGCGCCGCTGTCGCGTTGTTGAGCACGGTATGAAACGGCAGCTTTTTTGAGTCCTCCAACACCTTGACCCGAGTGCAACACATTGCGCCATGATGGAGGCAGCTGGGTTTTCTGAGTCTTTGGATGTCTTTGGAATTTTGAAGTTGAATGGAACTATAGATATGTTTGATAATGTTTGATACATATACATGCTTTACGGGCTCATACATCTATAAATTGATGGCCCATTGAAGTTTAATAAGTTCCATCAATTTTGCATGTGTATATATATAATATCATATCTCATTTGGATGCTTCAAAACATACGGCACTTGCACACCGTTGGTCATTGAGTGCAACATGTTTCAAACTCCAGCAGATCGCAGATCCCACGGCTTTCACAGATTTATCAGTGCTCGGCTGACTCGGCTGATTGATTGACTTTCCTGTGAACACTGATGGTCTGGTTTTGCTGGAACGAGTTTTCCTCGGAACATATTCAAGGATACAACATTCGTAAATGTGTGAAAACAGTAACGATTCGAAGGAACATTAATGCGGCAATGCGTCTCACTTCCAGACTGATTCTAAGAGGTCAGGTCTCCAGAAAAACTGCTGAGACTGGATTGATGGATATGGTCAATGATGATCAATGATGATCAATGATGTATGTGAATGGATAAGGATTACTACTGGATGTTTTTGTTCGGGTAGCTCGGCGGGATCGGAATCCACCGATGCCGGCAGGCAAAGCCCACCTCTGGCGTAAATTCACAGGCCGGGCCCAGGTGTGGGAGAATGCCCCCACAATTTATAGATATTTGTGGATACATTTAAATTAAACATGATTATGATGATTATGTAAACTATGGTGAGATATGGTGGGATTATGTGAGATCAAAAATCCTATGAATCCTCAGGGGGGTGTGGTGTTCTATGGTGTTCTGTCAGATCTGTCAGGCCAACAGCGAGTTGAACACATCGGTTGGGGGCGTGTCTCATCAGACACAGCCGGGAGACCCAAGTCATGGAGCCCTTGGAGGGCTACGGTATGAATCCCATCCCCATCATCCCCCCTACCATGGTGAACATGAGAATTGAAAGACCCCAAAATGAACAGATTCTCCACATTTCTCCACTCAATCATGGTTTTTGGTATTGTTTGGTGCTGTATCTATCTGTATCTATTTGGGTCGCAATGAATAAATTATATTGGTGATTGGCAAGGGCATGATCCCTAAAGCCTCATTTCATCTGAACGGGAATCATTCTGAACTACGATCAGTAGCCGCAAATGGGGATGGATCAAGAGCTACCACCATATTTTGGGGGGATGAACGTCATGATGAACGTCCATAAATCCCAGGATTTTGGACCCATATGCCATAGCACTCCGTGTTGCCAGGCCTTTAGAACGTCGTGTTGCCTGGCTAGAAGAGGACCAGAAGCTGTTTGACCTGGGGATTAAATGAAGGTGAGAAGATCGGAATGGTTAAACAATGGGGGTAGACCAAGCACACAATGGGAATAGGATGGGATATGGAACCAACCATGTGATATTTGTTTGTGTCATGTTGTGTCCAAAAATTGGATATGTACACCTCAAAAATATATTTTGGAAATGATGATGAACCATCAAATTTGTGCGCACCATGTTCAGACAAACTCAAGTTGATGGATAGATATGACATCATGATTCACTTCAATCACATCTACTACCTAGGACGTTTCCAGCACTTCGTTGCGGAACAACTTTGGGTACCTGGGTCGTGTTTGGGCCAATCCATATCGGCAAGACATCATAGCATTTCAGAGACAAAAACGAGAAAACTCAGTGAGGCAGTAGTTGGAAACATGATTTTCAGGTCTGTGGTTTGCAAGGAGGGGGTCAGGATGAGAATGACATACCCCCAGCGACAGGATGTTGCAGTGATTCATCGCCGTGTCAAGTTGGAGTGCGGAGAGATAGGACCTTGCGCTTGATCGGATCGAGGTGAAGTGCTTTTGTTGGGATTAGCCCCACCAACTGAGTACCGATCGGATTGCTTTTTGAGAATCGTTCACATATCAACAGTGATCAAGGACAGAGAGGCATTTCCCCCCCTTTCTTGTCCATGTGGGGTTGGATCATATTGGATCATAGCTGCCACCGAGGAGGTGGAAATGCTGCAGACTCAGGCTTGCGCCAGTTGGTGGCGCGCTTGGACGGTGTGGGAGCACAGCTGGCCATGGTGTGGTTCTGTCGAACTGGTTTGGTGGTTTCAATATGTTTCAATTCCATCTTGGCTTTCTCCAGAAACGAGGGATACCAAAATTTACAGCAAGCTTGGTAGGGCAAATGAGATTCCAAACCATGGGTCCATCTCTGGGGATGAACATCTCTGCTCGGGCTTCCCCATAGCCATATCTAGCTGAGCTTCATACAGATAGTGACTGGAAACATGAAGGATATGCCAATTCAACAAAACAAATCCAAAGGTAAAGGCACATGACCATTTTGGTATATGTATGAACTCATTGAAAAAATCTTCTGAAAATTGAACGACAGCTCTGCTGCTGAGTTCATCACCAGGTGAATTGGCCGCAGAACGTCGCGCACGCCAATTGCTGGAGGTTTACTGCTCAGAGGTTCTATGAATCCCGTGGTTGATCATGTTTCCATTGGCTATAAAGCGATTGGGGCATCCCCATTTGACAAAACCAACTAATAAAATCTAATAAATAGAGGTAAACGACTAGCTGAAGCACATCGAGCTACCAACAGCTAGGACTAGCAGCTAGCAGCTACTTGCATATACTTGCCAGCAGAACTTTGCAAGGTGTATTGACAGTTCAAAGAGGCTCTGGATTGCTCAATTCAAGTCCGAATCCTTTCCTTCTGCTGAGGCTCGAATGAACTCCCTGGAGGCTTCCGTGAAGCGAGACAAAGGGGAACGGGAGGCAGGTTGTTCAATCTTCAGCCTCCATGATGCTCAGCTTCAGATCTGCTCTGAAAGCAAGGCAAACTTGAAGAGTTTCTCCACCGAATTGGAAGGAGTGATGCGAGGCACGCTGTGAAGCCGATATGGATTTGCAATGTTTCTTCGTGTGGCAACTTCGGATGTCCTCGATGATCAAGCATTCAATGAGCTGTGTTCAAAAAGAGACTCTCATGGAATAATTAATTTTAATAATTGTTCAAATCTCTGCAGCTACCGACCATCAAGAAACATCGCTTCCAACATTTTCTAACCACATATATCCGCATATTATATTCCTGTAATTTACTGTATCATTTTGTATCCACATATCACATTGTAGGCACGCAAAGCGATACATGACATCGCTTGTCGTTGATCGTGCCGTCCACTTGCATCAGGACTTATCGGTCTGGATCCCAGGGGAGAAACGTGGAGAAACTACCGCTGCAGAAGGGGGGTTTCAATGATGCTTGATGGACCAGTTTCTTTCAATTTGGTGTCAGATGGTGTCAGATTTTTTTTTCGTGACATGTCTGTTTGTGTAAAGATGAAAGACACTGAAGATGATGAATCATATATAATAATATAATATCTCATCGTATGACCATTATATCCCCATGATCGTTGCTCATTCTTGGTTATCAACCACCATTGGTTACATATCCCAAAGGTCAGCAACCAGAGATGCAGACGTGTCAGGTCGCATCGATGAGGGCTTGTCCGCTGGGGCCGCTTCTATGAAGGAACGCACCGATCAAACAGAGGCGCTGTTGGAGCAGGGTGTAGAAAAGGTTGATGTTGTTTGAAAATGATGCATACCATGGTATATAGATGTAATATATAGTATACCTTGATTTATGGCACTGTTAGTGATATTATATTAATTGTACTAAATTATAGTAAACTATTATATATATATAAGAAATATTACATAAGGATATACATAATATAATATATATATATATATATATTATATATATATATGTATATAGTAGGATATACACTGATTTATGGCATGTTGGTGATATTAAGGGGACAAGGATGAAACATGAAAGCTGGAGGGTACTAGCCTATTTTCAGTCCAAGCAATTGTTGAATATCATGGAATATCTCAGATAGTCAGATAGTGATAGGGATGACTAGGGATGTAGAGCTAGGGAAGTACATGCTTGGGTCTCACGACTTGCGTTGAACTCAACCAATACAGTAGCTTGGGATGAACGAGGCCCTTGGTATAGGAGCTTGGAATGGCCTTGAGAGCATGATGGGGTCGTACAAGGTGAGTTGCTACCCAACATCCACAGTCTTGGGGAACTGAGTGCCATGTACTCCTGGATCTCATCACAGGTACCTTCAAATATATTCATGGTTCATGCCTTTGCAGCAGATATACGGTATGCCTGATGGATCTTCATGGCTTGAAATCACTGGATGAACTTGGTACATTGGCCTCCCGTGGATAGGTGCGCATGCGACATCTCATCAAGCGCGTGGATGAAGGCGCCGCACGGTGCCCCGATGGTTGTATGATAAGTTGGAATGGGAAATCTGAAAGTCCTTTTCAAAGAACTAGACTAGAATCGATTCACCATCCACTGAGATCATCATCGTCATCCTCACCATCATATTACATAAACATAAAACATATCGCAAAAATTCACACTAAACATCACATGAAACAGCAATGATGATCATCATCATAATGGCAGGTCTTTCAGCCGGCGCTGCTGCCCTGAAGGTCAGAACTGTCATGATCAATGGGATTGAGCTGGTGTAGTTGAGTCATTGATGAGAAAAATGATTTGCCCACCTTTAGATATATATATATATACATACATTGTACATACAGATGTAAGTGTTTATTCTCAGGTCATTGGATTTACAGACATTTACAGACCATGATGTTGAACTGATCTAGTAGGTAATTGGAATACATGGAATTACTAAGTGTGATTATTACCACCGGTGCAAAGGCAGTCGCGGAACGTGCAAATCATGTTCACAAACCACTTGCCCTTCAAGTTGCCGCATCATTTTTTAGATATGTTTTAACATGTGTTCACTGGATAACAGTGTTTTTTCTTGGTTGAAATTTCGTTGAATTCCCGTTGAAATCCTATTGTCATCACATGAACGCCGACCACCGATGAACTTTCCATCTTTTTCAGAATCAAGATAATCAAGCATTCGTCAAAGCTTCCCAGCGTTAGGACACCCTGACCAACACTAGCGAGAAGCTGGAGAAGATCAGTGAAACGCCCGGCTCCAGGCTCACACCGGGGTAAGATGTGGCTTGGGGTTAAATCAAGCGGGTCCAGGGTACCCTATTGTTATTATTCTCATTGTTATTGATATTGTATGTATGTATATATATATATATATGTATATATATAATATATACATGTGTGTATATGTATATATATATATATATACATAAAAGCAGGGATCACCACAACCCCTACCCCCAGCCGGATGGTTCCCCCCTCCCCTGTGGCTTGGGGGGTGGTTCCCAACAACAACAGTCCTACATGGGCAGTGTTTGTGCAGCTGTAAGCGCTTGATGTCCAGTTTATAGGGTGTATATGGAGAGTATTCAGGGAGTTTACAGGGAGTAGATATGGATATAGTATATGGGCGCGCTATGCAATGAGTCGTATATTGGCACGCTATGAAACATGTGTAGGTAGTAAATAAAGGGTTTAAGGAGTATATAGGTAGTGATGAGGCAATGTATATACTACACAAGGGTATGTCATTTTAGGTGGTGATTTGTAGGTACATACTGCATCCAAGCCAATAGAAAGAAGGATTACATAGGTATCAATATGTGCTCTTTGAGAATATAACCATGTGTAAGGCATGCTATAGGCAGTACATAAGCAGGTTTTGGGAAGTATGCCAGTGATTGCTAGATCTAGATTGATATGTTGGAAATATACAGCTGGACAGGGTCCAGTGACTCACGAGGTTGTGGCTCTGAAATGCTGCAAATAGTGTATAAATGGGAGGCTGTGCTTAAATAGTGTGCATATTGGAGGTTTCGGGGGGGGGCACCATACCATTGGGCGGGTTGTGGGGTTCCTGGGACCTGGCTCATATATGTAGTATGTAGATATATATATATATATATAATCATACATATATATATATATACATAATCATATTCATATATATTTATATATATATATACATAAATAATCATATATATATATATATATGTACACGCACATGCTTTATATTACTGTACATTGTACATTGCATTCCTTTCCGTTAGAATACGTTACATCACACACATGACATGACATTGCACTTCCATACATTACATACATCACAGAACACAACATTACATGGCCTTACATTAATTTCATACAGACAAATTCATGTGTGTACATATAATATAATATTGGATACGCTCATATAAATATATTATAAAGTTTTATATCGTGATGCAATACAACACAATATGATATGATATAACACAATATAATTACAGTACAAATATGTACATTACATGTATGTGGACAATAACATCATGATATGGACATATAGATATTATGTAATTTACGAAACATATACATGCATACCCAGAAGAAGCAAAGAGCACATTGGGTACATTGGATATTCAAGAAAAAGGCTATATGCCTGGCCAAGCGGCCCACTAAATATTCGCACACTTCAAATGCGTTTTGAAGCGTGTTTGACATGAAGTGCAGGACGACAAACCAAACATTTAGTTTGGCATTTTGTTTAAGCATATTTGATGCCCAACATGCTTGTAACACCAGCAGTGGCAGGGTATGCTGTTTTCTTCATTCAAAATTGATGTCGCGCCTATGTCTGTAAAATATGAATGTATAAATATATACTGTATATATATATATATTTATATATATATGTATATATATATGTATATATATGTATATATATGTATACACATTATATGATGCTTTGTACTTCTTTCTGAATGAGGCAAGGTGTAAAGAATATGCAATTGCATATATTATCAAATGTATATATAGACATATACACCATATATATATATATATGATATATGTGTATGTATGTATGTATATCGTGTCGCATATCGTACCAAATTTTAATCTCTCTTACTGCCAGCCATTGCCAGCTCCGCACCAGGGACCAGCGTCCTTCTCGAACGGAGCCACGGGTTGGGGCCGCCTCGCGTGGCACGCAATCGCCGGTCACGCAGCAGCAGCAGCAGCAGCAAATGTTGCAGGCTGGGAATGACATGGGATCACCCTCCGGTAAACTACCATAGCTGCCATAGCTATTGAAAATGGCCATAGAAATAGGTGATTTACCCATCAAAAATTGTGATTTTTCCATAGTGGTTATTAATGATCATTAATGACATGGGATTTGTGATGGGTTAATGATCATGAAAGACATGGAAATCCCAGGGGAGAAATTGATGGTTATCACAACCTTGAAATCTTATGAAATCTTGGGATATTCTGGAAATCCCAAATATGAAGATGTAAGGACCGTAAGAACCTGGAATTTTGAGGGACCGTATTTTCAGACAAAACCATGGGGGGGTCATCACGAGCAAAACTGGTGGGGTCGGCCCTTGGACCCACTGGTTCAACCGGGGCCCTTCGCAGGTCAGAGCATCTGGAGCTTGGCCCACAGAAAAGCCCCAGCAAATCTTGATGGCAAAATGGATTGGTCTGAAAATGAGGCCATACTGATGGGAACAGTGATAAACCTGATAAACCATTGGATTTGGAGGTATCCTATTTTCAGACACACGAAAGGATTTTGTGTTGAAAATGAAAGGATGTTGTATGATGTTGGTAATTTTGGGTATTTGTCATCTCGTTTCTGGCACATGCAGCTACAATCAGTTGGTAGTTATGACAACTTCATCCTGAAAAGAAAAACTGTTGCAACCTGAATATTCCTCCTTTGTCCAGACACCACTTCTCAGTTCTTGTGAACCTGATCTGGCACCGAGGGTAACGCCAATCCCATGATGTCTGCCAGTGGGGTACCCAGATATTATTGATTCCTTTGTGGATCAGGGATAGGTTAAGTGTGACTGGAAGGTGGCAAGTGGCCAGTAGTCTTAGCATGTCTTAGCAAGGTTATCAGATCATTTGCTTCCTACCGTACATATTGTGCTGAGAACATGTTTGTATCTGATACTCTGGTTCCTAATATGTACGTTCTGATATTTCAAAATTGTTGAAACATTGTTGAACTGATAATCTTGTTCTATGGGTAGATTCAAGTTACTCATCCCGGGGGTTTCTTCAATTTTTCGGATCTTGCAGGATCCCCAGTCGTCACTAGGTCGACAACGGTCGCCTCAAGGAAGCCAGGCAGCCGGCAGCTGGATTCTGTGGCTGGTTGAATGGCATTGACAATCCACATAGGCTGAAGATGGCCCACTGTATGTCACATATTCATACATATTCTATCATATTCTATTACTATAGTCTATTGCAGTAAATATCATATATATATATATACACATGTAGAGATCAGATATGCACATGTATATATATATATATGCATGTATTATAGTTTATAACATGTGTATAATATGCAGATGCTTGATATAACATGTATTATAGTTTATAACATGTTTATAACATAGGAATGTCCTACTAGCATAGTTGATTGATGAAGGCACCGTTGCGGACCCCTGAGACCGGAGGCACCGTCCCACTTCAGATCTCCCGTGGCGACACCATCTATGGCATATCCCTGCTCGTTGCAGGCGCTTGAAACGTTATAGCTGTTTCTTGAAACGTATCAGATATCAATATCGATAATTTGCTAATATCTATGTAATGTATATATATATATATATGTATGCTGATATTGCTGCTTATTGATAAAGCTGGTTGAATCGTATTGATATGTCGGGAATGGGTCAATGGGTCGACTAATTCCCACTGGAATGTCGCTTTTCAGTACCATCCATTCTTTTTGGGTGTCCAATTTTGACCCATACCCATTTATTGATATTTGCTGATTCATTGATGCTTATTTGAAGTTGATTGCTACTCTGTCGAATCATTGTTTTCACCTTGTGATTCTTCACACGTGAACTTCTGTAGCTGCACTACTGTGATTGTGTTGTGTGTGTTTGTTATTCCGTATTTTTGAGGGAGGAGATGAAATGCTTGTTGAGTCATCAGTGTCATTTTTGTGATTTGGATGCAACTTGCGATTTGTAGGTTTCACTCCCTCATAGAATCGTTAGTTCCTTCTCATTTTCCAATTCATTACTATGTTCTTAATTTCCATTGGTAATTGCTATCATCATTATCATTATCGATCGATCTATATTTATAATATATATATATGTATATATATATATACATATTATATAATTACGAAAATATATTGATCTTCCCAAAGAATGGTATCCATCATGGTCGGGCTTGGTGAGCCCCTTCAGGTGCCTGGAAGTGGACTCAATGGTGCACAGGCTGCACAGGTTTGAGACTGAGAGCCCAGCATGGTGCATCCGTAAAAAAATGTCTCAAATCGGAAAATTCTCAGACTTCAAGTGGGAATAATGAGAAACTTGGAGAATATGGAGAATAACATGATTTATATAGCACTTATTCTCCAATTCTATGAACACGTTTGAATTTGCATGACTTTGGTATACTGTGGTTGTGCCAGGCCTTTTCAGCCAACATGAAGCAGGTGAGAACAGGAGTAGTTTTAATGAATTGTCAACAGTTCAGACACCTTCCAACTTAATATTGGCTGCTGAGGGCATGCATGTCAGACAGGCCAGCACGGCAGCGCATGGAGAGGGTGCACTGGTGATGTCTAAGTTAGTTGAAGCTCTCAAGGAATTTATTTGCTAAGAAAACTATCAAACTGCCCTAAAGGGCATTTGATCATTGAGTCGGTCCCTTTCTCAGCTTGGTGCTAAGTGACCTCAAATTTCTGGAAGAGAAGGAAACTGCAACACTAGCCAGAGATGTCTATAGGTCTCCTCACGCACACATACACACATACACATTTGATCATATTTGAACATATACAGTACAAATCTGTATAATTCCTGTATATATAGATAATACTGTCCTGATTTCATGTCACATTTGCACTTCCCTTCCACTTCTTGCTTCATACTTTGAAGGTCAACATTGGCCATAGTATGCCGGCGGTAAGCAGTAAGACCTCGCCAGGTGCCGCAGGCGCATCCGCATATGCAGCAAGGCTTGGATCGTTGCATCACTGTGGATAGCAGTGGATAAAAAAGTGGAGCTCAAGTTTGGGTCTCAATTTTCTATCCATTTCTATCCTATTTGAGAAAGCTGAGGTTCATGATATAAAGTCTGGGATGTTTGACATGTTACTGTGCAAAAAGTTAGGCCATTCTCCTCAGGTGGACAGCCCATGGTACAGGGGCAGCTCGACAGCAATATTCTGTGGCCCGGAATTCGCTTGATAAACCTACCATGACTGGTGATGGTTGCAATATGTTACAATCCCACTTAAAAAATCTTAAAAATATGTCGATGACTTGGGGATGGTTTAGCTAGAAAGAACCTCTCGGAATCCTCTCGGTTCGTTTGAATTCGCAGGGTGAAATCATGCGAAGATATGTAACAATCTCTGGGTAAGCCTAGAAAAGGCATCAAAATCATCTTCTACGACTCTACACTATCTCATACTATCTCTATCCAGTGATGGCATCCGATCTCACATCCTGAGGCGAGTTCCGGTGGGTTGGTCTGTGCCCGCTGCCACCCGATAACGTCAGCCGCATCGCAGCGCACTGCTGAAACCTGGCAGGGCTCCAAGATCCAATGGAGGAGAACCCTTTAGTATATCCTTTAGTCCTTGCAGTCCCAAAAAATCCAACCCGAGGCAAATCTCACTCACTTGAGACTGTAAACGACCACAATAATGAAAATGGCAACGACCTCTCATAAGCGCTTCCGCTGATTGATCTGAAAATAAATCGCAATATAAAAGGGAATAATAGATATAGAATAAAAAACAATATGAAACAATAATAATGATAATAATAACAATAATAATAATAATAATAATATAGTTGCGATTATATTATATTTCCAAAATTTTGATGTAATTAAACTGTATTGGAATTCTCACAAACATTTGCAGATATATACCTGTAGTGAACCCCTATTTATTTTTTTATTTTTTTATTCTACACCTCCAAAAAAGTCCCCTAAAATCTAACACGTTAACGTTGGCACAAAGCATTTTCCCGAATGCGTAGCAAAGGGTTCTTGTTTTCTTTCTTGGGGGTCTGGGGGTGGTGGACTGGTTGCGGGCCGTTTTCGTGTTTCAACTCTCCAATCGCGTCGTCGCCGTGTCTATGGGGAAAGTGAAAAAAGGTGATGTTTTGTGACGTGTGAAAGTGCATTTCGCGTTTCAGGCGTGGGACTTTGTGGCACTCAGGCAAAAGTTGCTTCGCTGGTCTCCAATTACGTCGCCGCGCTGTCTATGGGGAAAGTGAGAAAAGGTGATGTTTTGTAACATGTGAAAGTGCATTTCGCGTGGCAGGCGTGGGGCTTTGTGGCACTCAAGCGAAAGTTGCGAAAGTTGCTTCGCAGGTCTCTAATGTTTACGTCGCCGCGCTATCTATGGGGAAAGTGAGAAAGGATAATGTGTTGTGACGTGTGAAACTGCATTGTGAAGTGTGGAGTGAGGAGTGTGAAGAGTGGTGTGGGAAGTGTGAAGTGCGAAGTGTGAAGTGCGAAAGGGAGAGTGGAGAGTGTGAAGTGTGAAGGGTGGAGTGTGAAGTGAGTGTGGAGTGGAGCGTGTAAAGTGTGAAGTGTGGAGCGGAGAGTGTGAAGTGTGGAGTGTGAAGTGTGGAGTGTCAAGTATGAAATGTGACGTGTGGAGTGTGAAGTGTGGAGTGCGAAGTGTGAAGTGTGGAGTGGAGTGTGAAGTGTGAAGTGTGGAGTGTGGCGTGTGAAGTGTGAAGTGTGGAGCGTGAAGTGCAGAGTGTGGAGTGTGGAGTGGAGAGTGTGAAGTGTGACGTTGCAGTATCAGGTGTGCAGTGTGAGGTGTGAAGTGTGAAGTGGAGTGTGGCGTGTGAAGTGTAGAGTGTGAAGTGCAGAGTGTGGAGTGGAGAGTGTGAAGTGTGAAGTGTGCAGTGTGAAGTGTGAAGTGTGAAGTGCGGAGTGTGAAGTGTGGAGTGGAGAGTGTGAAGTGTGGAGTGTGAAGTGTGGAGTGGGGAGTGTGAAGTGTGGAGTGTGAAGTGTGAAGTGTGCAGTGTGATGAGTGACGTGTGGAGTGTGGCGTTTGAAGTGTGAAGTGCGCAGTGCAGAGTGTGAAGTGCAGAGTGTGGAGTCTGGAGTGGAGAGTGTGAAGTGTGGAGTGTGAAGTGTGAAGTCTGAAGTGTGGAGTGTGGAGTGTGAAGTGGATAGTGCGAATTGCGCAGTTTGAAGTGTGAAGTGTGAAGTGAAGAGAATGGTGTGTGAAGTGTGAAGTGTGGAGTGTGGAGTGTGGAGTGCGAGGTGTGAAGTGTGGAGCGGAGAGTGCGAAGTGAGAAGTGTGGAATCTGGAGTGTGTGGAGTGTGAAGCGTGAAGTGTACAGTGCAAAAGTGAGGAGTGTGAAGTGTGGAGCGGAGAGTGTGAAGTGCGAAGTGTGAAGTGTGAAGCGTGGAGTGTCAAGTATGAAATTTGAAGTGTGAAGTGTGAAGTGAAGAGAATGGTGTGTGAAGTGTGAAGTGTGGAGTGTGGAGTGTGGAGTGCGAGGTGTGAAGTGTGGAGTGGAGAGTGCGAAGTGAGAAGTGTGGAATCTGGAGTGTGTGGAGTGTGAAGCGTGAAGTGTACAGTGCAAAAGTGAGGAGTGTGAAGTGTGGAGCGGAGAGTGTGAAGTGCGAAGTGTGGAGTGTGAAGTGTGGAGTGTCAAGTATGAAATGTGACGTGTGGAGTGTGAAGTGTGGAGTGCGAAGTGTGAAGTGTGGAGTGGAGTGTGAAGTGTGAAGTGTGGAGTGTGGCGTGTGAAGTGTGAAGTGTGGAGCGTGAAGTGCAGAGTGTGGAGTGTGGAGTGGAGAGTGTGAAGTGTGACGTTGCAGTATCAGGTGTGCAGTGTGAGGTGTGAAGTGTGAAGTGGAGTGTGGCGTGTGAAGTGTAGAGTGTGAAGTGCAGAGTGTGGAGTGGAGAGTGTGAAGTGTGAAGTGTGCAGTGTGAAGTGTGAAGTGTGAAGTGCGGAGTGTGAAGTGTGGAGTGGAGAGTGTGAAGTGTGGAGTGTGAAGTGTGGAGTGGGGAGTGTGAAGTGTGGAGTGTGAAGTGTGAAGTGTGCAGTGTGATGAGTGACGTGTGGAGTGTGGCGTTTGAAGTGTGAAGTGCGCAGTGCAGAGTGTGAAGTGCAGAGTGTGGAGTCTGGAGTGGAGAGTGTGAAGTGTGGAGTGTGAAGTGTGAAGTCTGAAGTGTGGAGTGTGGAGTGTGAAGTGGATAGTGCGAATTGCGCAGTTTGAAGTGTGAAGTGTGAAGTGAAGAGAATGGTGTGTGAAGTGTGAAGTGTGGAGTGTGGAGTGTGGAGTGCGAGGTGTGAAGTGTGGAGTGGAGAGTGCGAAGTGAGAAGTGTGGAATCTGGAGTGTGTGGAGTGTGAAGCGTGAAGTGTACAGTGCAAAAGTGAGGAGTGTGAAGTGTGGAGCGGAGAGTGTGAAGTGCGAAGTGTGAAGTGTGAAGCGTGGAGCGTGTGGAGTGTGGAGCGTGGAGTGTGAAGTGCAGAGTGTGGAGTGTGGAGTGTGGAGTGTGGAGTGTGGATTGGAGAGTGGAGAGTGGAGAGTGGAGAGTGGAGAGTATGAAGTGTGAAGTGTGAAGTGTGAAGTGTGGAGTGTGGAGTGTGGAGTGTGGAGTGTGGAGTGTGGAGTGTGGATTGGAGAGTGGTGAGTGGAGAGTGGAGAGTGGAGAGTGGAGAGTATGAAGTGTGAAGTGTGAAGTGTGGAGTGTGGAGTGTGAAGAGTGGTGTGTGGAGTGTGAAGTGTGAAATGTGAAGTGTGGAGTGTGGAGTGTGGAGTGTGAAGTGTGAAGTGTGAAGTGTGAAGTGTGAAGTGTGAAGTGTGAAGTGTGAAGTGGAGGGCGCAAAGTGTGAAATGGAGTGTGAAGTGTGGAGTGTGCAGTGTGAAGTGTGGATTGGGGAGTGTGATGTGTGGCATGAAGTGTGGAGGGTGAAGTGTGCAGTGGAGAGTGTGAAGTGGGAAGGTGTGGAGTTTGAAGCTTTGAAGTTTTGAAGTTTGAAGTGGGGTGTGAAGCGTGAAGTGTGGAGTGTGGGGTGTGATGTGTGAAATGTGAAGTGGGAGGTTTGAATTACAGTGCGGTACTGGGAAGTACTTTGCGCAAGCTTTGTAGTACAAAAGTGGTATAGGGGAGTACTTTGTGCAAGCTTTGCAGTACAAAGTAGTACCGGGAAGTGCTGGTGCAAGCTTTGTAGGATTGGGAAGTGCCT